AATAGTCAAAGACAAAAAACACTCATACAAAGTAACACGCAAAACTCACCCAAACAAAAACACAAACAACAAACATAACAAGGTAAAGATAAAACAAATTAACCAATGCCTTCTCTGTTTCAACAATCAAAATATCAAAGTAATTAATAGAAATAGAATCTCTAGTGGCCTTAAATCAACAAGTACAAGACTAGATAAAAAAGATTTAACTTTGGAAAGTCATACAAGAAAACACATTTTCTTATAACCTATGATTACTAAACAATTTAGCATTTTCATTACCTTGGCGAGCCACCAATGAAAATAACACACCTTGCATGATTCTCAAATAGCCAAAATATCTTGCCACAAATCAGAACAACGCCAATCATAAACATCAGTTAGCTTACCCATACATAAGAATATGAAAGAGCACTTCAAAATCCATCTAAATAACAGCCTTCTCTCCTTGAAACATATCCCACCAATTTTCAAACTCTCTAACACCGCTAAGCACTTTGACATAAAAAAGGCGATACAACAAACCATTTCTTTTCCATAACCATCCAAAAAACATGCCTCGAAAATCCCTGCACACGAAACCAACACTAGCCCGTTTAGTAACCTAAGAATAATACCTATCCACATTAATTTTAACCTCACCTTCAAAGGAAACCTTTAAGACTTGCATGTTTGGGAATTCATCTAGATTAGCCTTCAAACAAGAAGATTTAGTCGACTTCTTCAAGAACTTGCATTCACCAACAATCCTCTTCACATTCAAAACCACCTTTACAGTATTCATTTTATTACCATTAACACCCAATCACACCTACTCTTCCAGACTTCCCAACATATAGTGGCAATTAAACCCTTGTCTGAAGCATCTAACAACTGGTTTGTACAAAAAAAAAATTCAATAAATCACTTAACAGCATTGAAGATATAAAATTTAGAAATTTAAATCCCAAGCCGCGATCAAACCAACAAGCTCTGACTCAAGGACAAGCAAACAAGAGATGTTCAGTAGATTCAATACCAAACAAACAAACAAGGCAAAAGGCAAAATTAGAATATTTTTTTTCAGTCAAAAGGCAAAAGGCCTAATAAGGACTCTCCAAATGAAATGTTTGATTTTAAGAGGAACCTCAAGAGTCCACACACTCTTCCATAATCACCTAGAAGAAAAGTAAGAACAATTCAGTAAGAATAATTATCTCGAACCTCGACCTTAGTCCCAATAAAATAATAGCCAAACTTACAGTAAACCATCCCTATAATGAGGACAAAATCAATTTATCCCTACCAACCACAGAATTTGTATATTCTAATCTTCAGCATCTTCCTCCTCTCCTCATTTGATATCGAGTTGCTGATAGAGCGCTAAGATCCCAACAACCATTAGAAATTAAGGCAAAAATTTCTTCATTTCATTTGTAATACCTTCCCTTTTCAAATGCATACCCTGTGATTTCAAAACCCATGCATCCTTCCATACACTTACAGAATCACCGATAGAAATTTTTCACACATGGTTATTTTTCAACAAATCACAACCTTCAAGAATACTTCTCCAACACCATGAAGGTCTTCTACCTTTCTTAGACTCAAACAGATTGCACTTAGGGAATACAACCCCTTCAAAATCTAGCACCATAAATCATTGGGATTATTAATCAATCTCCATGCTGTTTTAGCCAGAAGAGCCTTGTTGATAGCAAGAAAATCTGTAAAACCCATGCTGCTGCCACTTTTAGAATCAGTTAAGTCCCATTTACATCAATGAATTTTCCAAAAACCCACCAAAAATTAAAAATTAATCTATCCAACTCTGTACAAGTTTTAATAGGAAAGCAAAACAAGCCATCAAATAGATGAGCATGACATTAGCTGGAGCCTTAACTAAGACCTCTCTATCGAAAAAAGTCAATAATTTTTGCTTCCAACCTTAAATTTTCAAACCAACTTTATTCGTAACAAACGCAAGATGTAAACTTATTAATATAAAAGTATAAAGTGTAACTCATATCTTTTCGTGAAAATATCAAAGCATAATTAACATGACTGTTGTAATTTAATTACCTTGTATGTTATAATGTTCAAGTTGTAAGCGTTGTCGAGACCAAGTTCTAAACCTTCAACAATATTTGACTACGCACGCACTTTGCCTTACCTTAGATTTGCAACTTAAAGCCATGCCTTTGCTTGCTTTATGGTAGCGTTTGTTTGTTTGTTTTCTTTTCTTTTTTTAAAAAATCGGTAACTGTCTTTTTTTTTTTTTTCCATTGCACTTCCAAAACACTGTTAAAGGTGTCATCTTTGATATACGTGTGCGTAAAGACGCTGATTACAAAACTCATTTATAGCACAGCAAGTAAAATAAATTGTTAATTGTTAAAATTATATATATTAATTTTCAATTTAACTCTTTAATAATGAAGCATTCAAGAATAATTTTTCAAATATCTGGCTATAATCATAATCACCTCCCCGCATTTTTCAAGTTAATAAATGTGAGTTGATGACCTGATTGTTAATTAGTTATCAACTTGAAGTTGACTAGCTTCTAGACGTACTTTTGCCCCGACGCTGTCTCTCACATGTACTTCGGTTTATGTTGAGTTAAACGTCTTATCAAACTATAAGGAGTACAAGCCACTTTAATTTACAAACTATGCATCACTTGTGAGGCTCTATAATATAAAACTTATGATAATACCACCTCATCAAGAGATAATGTTCCCGATGGCTTCACTTCACAACACTTGAATTAGCTTTTTTTACAAGTCAAAATCCAATGTAGATAGCTCTTTTTGTGATATTGACCTCTTAATAAAAGTATCAATATAACGAGTACAAGTTTAAAAGAAAAATTCATTTCAAAAGTTAGCTTATTAGAAAAAAAAATCTCTTAAACTTATAAACCCCACCACTTGTAAGGCTCTCTAATATAAAACTTGTGATACGAACATGCTTATTATCTCTAAAAACAATGTTGGGGCAATTACAACGGTGCCCTTTTTGGAGAAATTTTTTTTCTTAAATATAATGCCATTGATTTGAAAATTCAGGGGCAAGTGTAATTAATTCCTGATCAATCAAAAGTTTGAATAAAAATGAACCATCTTGAATGAAGAATAGTTTTTTCAAGGATTGACAGAATAAAAAAGTTCAAATAATTAACAATGAGTTGAGCCTCTTAAATCAAAAGTACTAATATTTTTATGTTTAATATTAGTGCATTAATCATGCTCTAATATGTGTCTGGAAAGTATACGTTATTGAGATATTGCCAAGCTCTAGAACTATTACTTCTTAAATTATAAGGATTATTTTAGTATGACGTCAATACTCATAAAATGAATTTATAAGGTATTTCGTAAAAGGATATGAACCCCGTATACAATTCACATTCCCGTGTTATTATTACCTCCAAATATATTCTTATTAAATTATAATTTGGATTTTAAAATTAATTATTCCGAATATCCAAACAGACACGATGAGAAAATATCCCATTCAAGTTTACACTCTCTTGTGCAGGGGTATAGTATATATTACACAGACATTGATATGATATGTAACTTTAATTTAAAAAAAAATATAAGATATGATACATTTCCGATACATGTATATATATTTAAAAAATATAATTTTAATTTAGAAAATATTTAAATTAGCATAAATATATAATCATTTATAATAATACCAAGTAAAATATAATCATTAATTATATTTTTATTTTATCTATACCTAATTACCTATCACTTAGTCTCTACTAATAGGTATAACATTAATATCTCCTCCTCCTTAACCATCATAAGATTACATTTCTACATTTTTATAATTAAGAAAAATGTAGTATTTACTTTTTTATTTAAGGAAAATCTAATCTTTAACTTTAAAAGCAAATCAAAAATGATATTAATAATAAAATTTTAATTTTGCAAGTTTTAATAAATTTGATTTTTGGCTAAAGTATAATGTTAATTTTTAACTTTATATAAAATTTTAATTTTATCCTTTAATTTTGTAAAGTATTTCTTTATTTCTTTAATCCAACATATTTAATTTTAAATAATTATTTTTTTATATCAATCATTGTTATTTTAAAAAATAAAATTTAATATATCAATATTTAAAAATATTTTATCAATATTTAAAAGTTCAATATAATATTTGTTGGAATAAAAAAAACAATATTAAAGTTAAAGGACTAGAAAGATATTTTATAAATTAAAAGACTAAAAAAAAATATTATGTAAAGTTAAAGACTAAATGTATGCTTTAACTTTAATTGTTTTAAAAAAATTTGGTTTTCAAGTATCAATAAATATGCATCAAAAATTAAAAAATATTATTCTAATACTTTATAAATACATATCAAAAAAGTATAGGTGAGTGTTGATATCAATACGATACTAATATGTAAAATAATTTGAAATATCGTTGTTTGATAGAGTATATTTAAAATATTGACACGCATGACAGGAAGTTTATAACGTTAGCCCAATCTTCAATATTCTAGAGATGTACAAATTAAATTTCCTTTTCATTTTCGTAACATGATTTTTTATATTTTTGTCCTCACATTTTTCATTTTTATATATGGGGCAAAAATATCCAAGGAATATGGATATATATATACATATATTTTACCCTTGGTTTAACTTTTCCCCATTTTAGCTGTAATCGAACTCTGAAGCTGGAGATATTTTTGAAGTATTTTGATCTCATTTCTCCTTTCGACAAAAGTGTATATCTGCAGACATATAGTGCATGTGCCCTACATAACTCGAGCGAAAACGTAGAGACACATTACTACACACATGTGTGTGTGTATCTATGTACTCATGCATGAATGCAATATGATTATGATTATACACATAGTTAGGTATTTAAGAAATAATGTGTGCCACTAATTCAAAATTCTTATGACAACTAATAAATTATATCATATATTAATTCTCCCTCTATTTAAACCCTCCCTACCCCCCAATTATGGTCTCATTGGTCTCTCTTCACCTTTCTTCCTCCTCTCTCTCTCTCTCTCCCCCTCTCCCTCCCTCTCTCTCTCTCTTACACGCACAAACACGCACCAGATAATGGACAAGAAACCGTGCAATTCATCTCAGGACCCAGAAGTGAGAAAAGGGCCTTGGACCATGGAAGAAGACTTGATCTTGATCAACTATATTGCAAATCATGGTGAAGGAGTCTGGAACTCCTTAGCCAAGGCTGCTGGTATGCACACACGCATGCACCACTTATATAGTATCTCTCTCTTTTCTTTTCTTTTCTTTTTTTAACATATTTTTTTTGTGCTCTCCTTTAAATTTTCTCCTATTAAAACCCTAATGATTATATCTTCATGTTCTTTCCGCAGGTCTTAAACGTACTGGGAAGAGTTGTCGGCTCCGGTGGCTAAACTATCTTCGTCCTGATGTTAGAAGAGGGAATATTACACCAGAGGAACAGCTTTTGATCATGGAGCTTCATGCAAAGTGGGGAAACAGGTGATGAATTCACCATAAATCTGTTTTTATATTTAGATATATCTTTGCTGGGTGTTGTGGAAATATTTTTAGTGCATACTAACTTGATGCAGAAACTAGTGATATTGTTGTTGGAACAGAAGAAAATTAAATAAAAGGGGTTTAGCCTTGTGTTTTGAACCCTGAAGGATGAAAGAAGTTGGTCACTGATCTCTCTCTCTTGCAATTTAGGTAGTATTTGGTTTTGAACAAGGCTGTTCAAAAGGGAAGTGTGAGAGAGAGTTTAATTCTGGCCAAGAAAATATTGACCAACACATGGGGGGTTTGCGGATGGGGTTTCTGGTTTTGTAGAACTTATGATATTGGCCACAAACACATTCACTGTGCCAATTTTGATTCTGAGTCTTTGAAGCTATACATGATGATCCCTCGTGATTGATTTCATCCACACATATACGTGTGTGTGTATATGCAAGATCAGTAGGGTTTTTAATTTTATTAATTTTTCTTAGGAGAAAAAAAGAGCAGGAGGCTTTTCCTTTAAAAGCTTCCTGTTATTACTTTCCTTTTGCATTCAGTATTCACTCTCCTCTCCCTCTCCCGCTCCTGCTCTCCAAGTTATGATACGATGAGGGTAGAGCATATATACTATGCTGTGGACCTTCAAGTGAAAGAGGCGTCTCAAGGGAAGCTAAGTGAATGAGTTAAGGGCCTCGTTATTAATGTTAGATATGTTTCCTTCTCTTCTATTTTTGAATTTTCGGCGAGCTCTTTTTAACATCCCATGAATATGATACTCGTTTCAAATGCAAGCCAAGTTTTTTTCTTTTTTTTTCCTTTTCTTTTTCATCTGTATGGTCAGAAGTTGAAACAGCATGGGATAAGAAAAAGATCGGCTGCTATCAGCAGCTGTACAATTCTATTTTTGAAAATCTATATATTTCTATATTGGGTTGTACTGTATATATAGATATAGAAAGAGATAGAGATGGTTAGAGAGGGGGGGGGGTTCAGGTAAATGAAAGATAACTAGATAAGGGACCCTAAAATCAATGTTTTCATGGCTTCATCTAACTTAATGAAGAATCATCAATATGGTAAAATATAAAGTAGAATGTTTACAGAAGGAAGATAGACTGCATATATAGCAGAAGAGGGAGGAAGATACTGAAAGGATATAGACTACGCACAGATATAGAAAAAGGAAGTTACTTAGATCTTTCAGTTAAAACTCTATGCTAAGTACTAGTATTTTGTTATTGGTTATTAAAAACTGGTAGGAAAAGCTGTTTTACCATCTGATACATGGATATTTTGACGAACCGGGACACTCCATATAGGAGTTTGTGAATAAGAATCAAAATAGACTCGACAAGAGAAATTTCCATTTTAGGCTGAACTCACAGAAGTGGGTCACATGACAATACTTTCTCATTCAGATGAAAAAGAAAATTAAAGGAATAATTAAATTGACACAAACCATTCTGGCCCTTGTTGACAAGAGCCTTAGTCTCCTTATAAATAGGGAGCCTCCACTTAAGGGTAGAGTACTTATGCCTATAGCAGATATAAAGTACTCTATATATCCTGTCCACACACTTCTGATATCTCTAAAGCCAAAGACTCTAAAACGAATGAGCGAAGATTCAAGAAAACCTACTGCATTTGCATTGGATAGTACGTACAAGAATTTTATATATAGAGTAATTTTATCTGATGCTGTAGGGTTAGAAAATCTCTTTTCAAGAACTCAAACTTTTCCTCTAACCTATCTAATGAATTTGAAAAAAAAAAAAAAGGATTTTTTGAGGTGACTGAAACAACAAAGCATATAGTGGTGTGCAGAATAATGAAAAGAGAAAAAATGGGATCAGAGTGGGAAGAAAAGTAGTGTTTGGATTGGAGCATACTTTTCTGTGTTGAGAAATCTGATAGCTTCGGTGATCAATCGGAGAGCCCCGGCTGCAAAGGCAAAGGCAAAGGCATCATATTTCCATGTACCCAAGGGGCCTTCAAGCATCTCACAGCTCAACTTGTCTTTTTATATATATGACTCTGGACACTCTTTTAATCTCAGCCAGGGAACATGCTCTCGACCAGACTACTTATTAATGTTGCTGTTTTTCACCTATATATCCATTTATTTCGCCTTCTCATATCTTCCTTTCCGAGAAACTTAAATATTTTTTAGCTACACGCACACTGATTTTTTGCGGCACATGATTAAAAGGTTCTCAATCCATTCACGTTTTGCTTTAATTGTCTCTTGTTAACCATATGTGCATGCTGATAAATTAAATCTTTGCTGTAATATTCGAAATCTATACACTCATGCAACTTAACTTCCCACCATGTGTTTTTTCTCGGTTCATTTTCAGCCAAAGGTACATGTGAGAGCTGCAATCTAGAATATTCTGCTGATATTATCCCTAAGAAAGAATTAAATATGTGTTCAGTTATCTGTCACTTTCCTTTAATATAACAAATGGCTCGTTAAAATAATGATGATATGAATAATGCAGGTGGTCAAAGATCGCAAAACATCTACCAGGAAGAACTGATAATGAGATCAAGAACTATTGGAGGACTAGGATTCAGAAGCACATTAAGCAGGCAGAGAACTGCTCGCAACAACATTCTCAAGTAAGTTCTGAGACAGCAGATCATCAGCAGGCCAGCAGCAGCCACGTGTCCAACACCATGGCTGATTCTCAGCCAATGGACACGTACTCTCCGTCCTCCTTTAATCAAGTGACTCTCACTGATCAGCCCTTTCCAACGCATCCATTTTCCACCGTACTCGATCAGTCCTCCATTTGCACCAGTCACGAGACTAACTATTGGAGTATGGAGGATCTCTGGTCTAATATGCAAATACTTAATGGGGATTAATTAAATTAATTATTATATATACATAATAAGTAATATATATTAAAAAGGTATCTCTTTCTCAGCATGTTTTATTAGGCTTTTATATGTATATGCAGTCGGACGTTTGGTGTTTAACCTACCATATATATATACATATATATTAAGAACCGTATCGGTATGGGCTGTATAATAGGAACTTATTATCTGCATATTGTCTTTTTTATATGTAGCAAATCAGATGATGCGAGTTTGAGAGCCATTAACCGTGAACTGGTTTGTATATTCTCCGTGGCAGGTGTGGTCTTAATATAGCAAATCTTTTCATTATCTCAATGATTATCTCTGCCTTATATGTACGTAGCACAGCTTAATTAGTTCATGATTTACTTCAACCTGTACTGCGAATTGATGTCCACGACCACTCAACCAAATTAACCATTGTGATCTCACCTAGCTAGGTATTATACATAAACAAAGATTTATCTAAAGCAACTACGTGAGCAGAAAGTGGGGTTTAGACTACGAGGCCAACCGAAGGAAGAAAACTGTGTGGCTAGAAAACGCTCGTGGGGAGATACTTTATGAATCGTGCCTGACGTTTTCTGAGGCTGGAAATACTTGGAGAATGAATAATGAGAGTGTACAAAAAAGAAATAAAAACGTGGGAGATACGTTTGAATTACTAGTCCTCTCTTTTCATATAAATGGAATGACAACCCAGCAATGCATGGGCGTGCATGATCAACTTGCATTTACATCCCCAAAACAAAGAAGTTTGCCCATACACTGCCTAACCAAAACCACAAGAAAATTGACACGTAGCCCGGCCACGCATTATCAGCCATGCATATATACATACATATCCATCATACCTCAAAACTCATACATGTCCTGAAGCTGGCCGGACTCGATCTGTAGGCTAGGAAGAAGCCCTCATGATCACGTGTCCCTCATGACCATGTGTAACAAGCTAATATATTTTCTCTGCTGTACGTTAACCAGCAGGAAGTTGAAAGGCTATATATATACACATCAGTCACAGAGTGTTATTACATGTAAGTTTATATTAATTAGTGATTTTGTTGATGGGATGATAAGAGTGAGAAATTAAGCAGGGGTGGTTTGTTGTCATTTAGTGTGGGGGATGAGTTAGGTGAAGGTGACGACGTATAATTATTATAAAAGAGAAGAGGGAGCATTGAAGGGTGTACCGAACTTCAACTTTAGACTGAAGAACTTATACAGACAAAGAAGGAAGAGTGTGACGGGAGAGGCTTGTCTTGGGGTTCTGTTATGGCTTAATATAGGAAACTAGGACACTTTGCTTTTGTGGCCTTTCGCTGTTTCTCATCCCGCGTCGTACGGCTCAAGGATCTTCCAACGTTTCTCAGCCGCTCGTTCTATTTTGTCACATGTTTTGTGTGACACAGAATCGAATTCCCATCCCCGGCGCAAAAACCATGTGACGGATAAGGATAAACCACGTGGGAGGTCGGCCACTAAATGGAAAAAACGTGTGCATTTTGAATATATATATATATATATATATAATGCTTCCTGTGGGGCCCTTCTTATTTACTACTCTTTCTGTAATTATAATAAGAAAAATCACCCATTTTAATATTAATTTATTATATATTTTTTAAATCATCCATCATAAATTATATTAACAAAAATAACTAACACATATTATATTGATTAATATAAACATTGTTATCTAATTTTTTTTATTTTCATGTGTAATTGTTATTGTTAATTGACTTTCTTAAAACTATTGATATAATTTTTTTTTATATACATATAGAGGGATTATATCTTTACCCCTCCCTCAAATTAAATCAAGTTTATTGCTTCTCTAGTTCTTCTCAGATTTTTTTGTGTCTACTATACTTAATTAGTTTTCGTTAATTTCTTATATAAGTACGTAAGTGCTGATTATTACTCATTACAACCTTCCCTGAGGATTTTAATTAATCTATAGACTAATGGGAGACAGCTTTATATCTATTCATAAGTGTGATTTCCAAAAGGAACAATAAAACAAACAAGTAAAAACAAATGCGTGAAAGAAAAATGATTCGTTTGTTAAAAAGTTAGCCACTTACTACATGCTATACAACTGATTATAATAAGTGTTTGAATTTGTTGAAAGCAAAACAAATAATCAGTGTGTTGCCTTCATGACTCGTTTGATAAGTTTCGTCTTCTCTGTTCCTTTTTTCAAATAAAAAAATCCTCGATCAAAATAATCGAGTACATTATAAAAATATTCAAATTTTCTAGAATTGATATCGATAAATTTTGGTGAAATTCTCAATTTCTAATATTTTTCTTATTGTATTATTTTTTATAAAAATATTTAAGGAAAAAGAAAAACCTCACATAAATTTACTTAATCCAACTCCAATTTAAATTCATTATAAAAATTGGATATCAGATTCTTCGTTTTTTTAATCATTAGAGGGGGAAAAACAAAAGTTTAGTGGACAGAAGGCACCAGTGATGCCGATGGGGTGCGAACTTCTCCTTCTTTTTTTTTGGAAGCCACAGGTAATGAGCACTTGGAGTAGTGGGATTTATGGCTAGTTGGGCTTTTTATCGGGGCTGGGAAATCATCGTGTCCCTTGGCACTTGGGAAGTTGGCATGGCCAATTCACCGTTGATAACACTTTTACAATTACCCAAAAAACAAAAAAAACCACGTATACAAAACTACCCCCTAAATCGCTCCTTCCCTTTCAAGTATTCTCCTTTTCTTGTTTAAAGAAAAAAATAATTATATTTTAAATCATGCTATGAGGTTTTATCACAATTTTTTAAAATTTTTATTCAATTTTAATAAGAAAAATATATTGTTAAGGTGCGTACATTGAATACAAAAAAAAAAAATTAGACCTTCTCAGTGAATTTTAAAATATATAGGATGAATCAACCCTCTCACATTTAACTACAAGCAAGTGACTAAGGGTATCAGTAAAATAAAATTTAATGACCTGGATATTATGAAATGGGGCTTGTATGTTTAGGAAAGGCCTGTGGAAAAAGACTTCTAATTTGGATCGGAGGGAGTCACGCATTTCTTGATTTTACCTTGTAAGTTCATAAAATCGTGCCATTGGTTGAAGCATGTAGATGGCTTCATGCGAACTTGAATCTAGTAAGTCATTAAGTACATTTACTCAATAAATATTTTAATTATAATTATTTAAATTTTATCAAATATTTGAAAATGGTTAAAACTATTTTTAAAAAATTAAAAACACTCATCATATATGTTTTTCACTCCAAAAGTTTAGAATTTTTGATATTTTTTTGAGTACTACTCTCTCCATTTTAAATTATAGGACATTTTAAAAAAAATTCATTTCAAAATACAAGACACTTTAAATAGATTAATGTTTCATTAAATACATCGATTACAATATTACCCTTCTCTTTCTATAATTAATTTTTATTTATTTCTTTTCAATATATTAATCAGGGTTTTTTGAAAAGATTGTATATTTGTTTTGAAAAAATAAAGTTGTTAAGTATTTTTAATGAGATTATTAATATGTGAGATTTTGTTTAAAAGTGTCTTATAATTTGAAACGAAGAGAGTATATGATAAAAGCTTCATAGTTTAATTGAATTAAATAATTGTTATTGTACTGTGTGAAATACTCTGTGAAGAAATGGACTTGGCCGCTCGCCAGATCCAAAACTTGGTTACACACTCTTAACAAATTAAATGCGATGTTCAACACACAATATCGAAGGTCAGTTTTTGGTTTTATTTAAGGAGATATAATTTCTCTCTAGCTCTTGATGCATGTAAGAAATATTAAACAATTCATGAAACCTAAGCAAATTGGCTAAGATAGTTCCAAGAAATATTGATAAATTAACGAAAGTATTAAACTCGAGAGATAGAAAGAGATCGCGGGAAAACTCTGTGATCGATTGGAGTAATTCGGGGAAACTATTAAAATGAGGAGACAAAGAAGACAAGGGTCCTATGTTATTCATGACAAATAAAATTTCTTAGCTGTGTCTTATATTTACCTGGGAAGGTGTAAGCTTTTGAGATATTGAGAACCTAAATAGTATTCCTACCATCTCAAATTCTAAAATAATTCGAGACAAGGTTATATGTATTGATATATAATAATAACATTTTATAAACTTACTTTTTTATAAGAAAATTATAATCTTTTAAGAAATCATTATATACTTAATCATTACGTTATAATATTACTTTAATTTTCTCTTCATTTGAAGAGTAATATTAAAAAAAGATAATAATGAAACTATGCTTTTCTCAATTGTCTTATACCTTAAAATAATTTTTTAAAATGTCTTATATAGTTTGGGATGAAGTGAGTAGTTTTTTTTTAGTACTCAAATTCAAGAAAACACACTTCCAAAATGGTTTATATCAATTATCTTTGCAGATTATGACTAATATATGTTTCTAAAATAATTGGTTGAAGTCTTGATTTTTTTTCTTTAAAAAAAATCACATATTTTCAATTGTATCTCTGAGGGAAATAAATATAATTATTGATCTATTCAAAACACTTTTATTAATTACTTAAATTAAATATATTAAAGTAGCAGTATGATTGGAAAAATATATAAAGCTTGTTAAATGTTTTATATTCGGACCTAGCATAACTTGTAAAAACTATCATATTTTATGGCGGAGAGGGGGCATTAGTTTATTTGATAGACAGTTCTGATAGGGTAGATTCCAGGCCAGGGCTCATCATTATTGTGTGTGTTAAATTTCCACAGGCTTCTCCACAGGCACAGCTCTTCCTCTGCTGCACAACACAAGCAGCAGACCTTGGACAGAGTTGAATGGAAAAGGGCATTCAAACCTTAAAACTATTTCTCAGAAGCATTTTTTGGTGAATTCAACAGCAGCAGACCTTGGATTATGCATCCAGCTCAGTGACTAATTTAATTCAACGCACCAGGGCCTACGGGGAGAATGTAAGATCCACCACATTTTCTAAGTGCTATATTTCGTGGGATAAATCATAAATGTACTCAAAACTCAAAAAGTCAACACACAAGCAGTGTTCTTATAATAAGCCTCTTACTAACATATGCACACACCAACAAATGCATTGAATTTTCAATTCCCTGCTACCATATCCATACCAATGGGGCGGGGCAACTCAAAAGGTTCAAAACCTATAAACTTAAATATGTTCAGTTCTGTAATCATAAATTATTACATTTATTTAAAAATAATTTCATTTTCTAAAAAAAAATTAAACATTCAAGATATATGTGTGTAATTTGAAAATAGAGAGTGAGATTACTTAAACCATCAGGTCGACGATGTTTTTTACACACGAATTAGAATAAAAATATAAAAATTCAAAATTCGAACAGTAAAAGAGAAAGAGAATGAAATAACAATAAAATAACAGTACACATATCAGTGATACTGTTTAGTATATGTGAATCTCAGTGAACCATGAATAAGGTGTATTTTTATGTCACCGATAAATTATCTTAGCGACATTGTCTTATCCCTTATTTGAATGAGATTATGGACTCAGTCCCAGTTTGTGCGTGAGTGAGTCCCCCCTAATGAAGAAGAGCCATGTATGGAAAAGGGCATTCAAACCTTAAAACTATTTCTCAGAAGCATTTTTTGGTGAATTCAACAGCAGCAGACCTTGGATTTATGCATCCAGCTCAGTGACTAATTTAATTCAACGCACCAGGGCCTACGGGGAGAATGTAAATCCACCAATTTTCTAAGTGCTATATTTTCGTGGGATAAATGTACTCAAAAGTCAAAACTCAAAAAGTCAACACACAAGCAGTGTTCCTATAAATAAGCCTCTTACTAACATATGTACACACCACAGATGCATTGAATTTTCAATTCCCTGCTACCATATCCGTACCAATGGCGCGGCGGCAACTCAAAAGGTTCAAACCTATAAACTTAAATATATTCAATTCTGTAATCATAAATTATTACATTTATTTAAAAATAATTCCATTTGCTAAAAAAAAATTAAACATTCAAGATATATGCTGGTAATTTGAAAATAGATAGTGAGATTACTTAAACCATCAGGTCGACAATGCTTTTTTACACCCGAATTAGAATAAAAATATAAAATTCAAAATTCGAATAGTAAAAGAGAAAGAGAATGAATAACAATAAAATAACATTATCATATCATCAGTGATACTGTTTAGTAGTATACTGAATCTCAGTGAACCATGAATAAGGTGTATTTTTTGTCAACGATAAATTATCTTAGCGACATTGTCTTATCCTTTATCTAATGAGATCATGGACTCAGTCCTAGTTTGTGCCTGAGTGAGTCCCCCAAATGAAGAAGAGCCATGTTAAAATAAATTAAAAAAAAAACAAGTTGTATTGTTTTATATAAATGAATGCATTTTATATTATCGAATGAAAATAAGTTGCAAGAAAATGTTAGATTTTGCTATGTATATACTTGATGCATTAATGACATTGATTTTATACATGGGTATATTGATAAAGATAATTTCAGGCAGAGAAACTTTAAATTCAATTTAATTGATATAAAAAAATGAATATAAAAGATGATGATAACTATCATAAAGGAAGAAGGGAGAATCGTAGTACAGGCCCTAAAAAAATAAAAAAATTACATTTTGAGTTTAATAAATTTGATAACGCATTGCAAGCTCAAGGGTTATTGTTGCATATTTTTTTACAACGAAACTATAATTTTGCCCTTAATCAGAATAAAAAAAATGAACTAAAAGTAGTGGAGCGTGATTAACTTAACATGCATTGATATTCAATTGAGAATGTATAAACATTATGTTATGCATCTATGAAATTGTATTGTACATTATCTACATAACTCATACATGTTATCAAAACCTACTGATTAACTAAACATGCATGAACATTGTGTTGAGAATGTATGAATATTGTTGTGCATCTATAGACATTGTATCTTACATGCTCTGCATGACTTATATATTTTAATTAACCTATAAATCATCTAGACATGCATAGATATTGTGCTGAAAATTCATGAATATCATATGGTGTATTCATGAGTATTGTATTGTACATTATTTACGTAACTTATACATTTTGTTAAACATATTGATCAACTCAACATGCATAAACTTCCATAAAAATACCTGAACATCATGGTGCATCCATGGACTATAATTTACAATCTGCATAACTTATATATTTTATCAACCCTATCAATTAACTAAACCACATAGACATTGTGTTAAAAAAATCATGAATATCGTGTGAAAAATGTATGAACATCATATTGTATACCCATAAACATTGCGTTGTATATGCTCTGTGCGAGTTGTATATTTAATTTTAATTAACTTACAGATCAACTAGACATGCATGAATATTATGTTAAAAATTCATGAGCATTGTATTGGGTTTCGTGGATGAGGATATAAATTTTTAAATCACACGAGACAATATTGTACTTTCACTCTTAAAAAAATTATAACAAGAGCCCTTAGGCCTGTATTATAGTGCACTGTTATCATAATCAAACAAGACTAGCTAGTCTAAATGATTGAATTGGAAACCAATCATAGGTCCAATCCGTTACATTTAAAAATTGCTTTTCCTACAAGTCACTCAGAACCAGCTGCGAACCAATCAAAACTGGCGAAAAACCAGTTAAACCGACCATGTTACATTTTTTTAATTCATATTTCTAAAATATGATTTATACATATTTATACTCAATAACCACGATGAAGTGAAAATTGCAAAAAATATATATGAATATCTATTTATGTATATATTTTCAAGTTATAAATTATAAATTATGAAATAATTATATATTTTTTGGATGAAAATGATGACATAAATTATAAATTATCTTGTTTGAAGTTTACATATTCATTTTTCTTATTATATATGATTATTTATTTCTACTTAAATATATAATATTTAAAATATATTAATTTATTTATAATCGGTTGGACCTCAGTTTAAACACAGTTCAACCATTAACCATGACCGATATCTTAACAGGTTTAATGATCGGTTCAATTTTCATGACATTAGTATAGCATATTATCAGAATTAATAGGCTAAAAGTGCAATTTTTTTTTTTTTTTTTTTTTAAGGTTGTGCTATAAAAAGAAATGGAGTGTGCAGGAACCGTGACTCATCACCACCTGAGCATAATGTAGCTTATGAGGGATTTTAAGACATGACACTTAAACTGCCATTGACACCTTAATTTTGGAACGTAATTTCTTGCTCTCTGGGTTGTCATGAATTAAAAAGAAAAAAGGAAAAAAAAAAGAAATGCTTTCTTCTTCGTTGTTAATATCCAACAGTTGCCATTAATTAATGGTAAAAAAAATACTGAATAAACAAGTCAGCAGTTATCTTACTTAAGAAAAAATTACAGGTGTATTAGATTCTATAGAAAATAATCAAAATCTAGGTGTATCAGATTTTACATTTTATATCGATTGACAATTTTTTTTTTCGGGTTCCATAACATTATTTTTGTGTCAGGAAAATTTAATCTAAAACTATATATCTGGGCCGCGTGGCCTCCCGATTTTCCTTGGTCTATGTAGTATTCCAAAGTAGTTCTGGATGTAGAGGGGGTTTATTCTTTTTTTTTTTATTTACCGGGACAGCATTAATCCGCTAGAAATTTGGCCCAAAAAATAAGGTAAAAAGCCCGCCTTCAATTTTTAGATTTTGAATAAGGCCAAAATCGGCAAAAATCAACATACTCCAAGGCTGAGACCAAAACAATAAAATTATATTATATATTTTTTTAAAGATCTCGGATTCGTTCTACACCAGAAATGATCAATAATAAGGTATCACTATTAATTAGTAATTAATTACAGACACCGTGTTCAACTCGAAGTTTGACACGTATTGTACAGACAAATTTAAAAGGCGCACTTTACGATCGCTCGAGTTTCCGAAAGCAGCTTTCGCAGTTTTGCCGCGTTTGCATGAGCATGAATGGGAGAGAGGGTTACAGCCTGCAAGGTTGGAGATTGAAGAAGAAGGGAAGCAATCCAACGACATATATAAGGTCCCATATGCAAAATGTATAATTTCTCTCGCCTGAATCGGTTCTGTTTGCCATTTTTCTTTCCGTTGTTTTCAGTTTTCAGTCCAGACTCCAGAGTCCTTTGTTTATTCGTATTCTTCTTCTTTTTTGTTGTTTTCTCGAATAGAACCTTTCAGCTCCTGAACTTGCGCTATATCATGGAGAGTGGTCTGATTCCTGGAAAAATCTATAGCTGCCCAATCAATTTGGTGTGATCTCTGATTGTTCCTCTTTTTTTTTTTTTTTGGGCGAGATTCATTTGATTTGCTTCGAGTCTTATTGCCAGGTTCGGTTGTATCTTTTCCATTTGCTGGTTATTTTTGTGTTTCTTTTATTATTGCTTCGAGTCTTAATGTCTGGTCAATTCTCGTGTGTTTTGCTTGCAGCAAGAACGCCTGCGCTCTTCTTTTCAATGAGGATACAATTTCGTGAAGTGCCCGAATTTCAATATTTTGTGATCCTGTAACTGGATTTTCACTTTTGAGTTCTGATATTTTGTACCTTGCCTCTTACAGCGTGGAGCGTGGGCTGCCATTCTTTATATATTTTTTTTTCTGTTACTAAAAATGCTATGCTCGACACTTGTTGAGCTAGCTGCAGACTGGATTATGGACTCCTCCGTATTTTGTTGAACCTTTGCCGGCTCTGTTGCCTGTAGTCCTGGATTTTCATACTCACCTCGTGGATGTGGGTTTGAAATGAAGAGAACTGGATTATGAATGTGTACATTTTTGTTGGCTTGTTATCCACGGATCAATTCTTTCGTCTGAATAAATCTCCCAGCATGGTTCCTGTCCGAAAACTGAGATTACAGATGAACTCCAGCCATGCTCACAACTAAAGGCGGAGTCAGGATCCTAGGTCGGGAATAATGGTGAAACTACAATCCTCGATGTAAGGAAAACCTTTCTGTCTCTTTTAAAACTACTATTCTCTCTTTCCTTCTCTTCCTCTCCCCTTTTTCATTGCAAATTTATAAAGTTTACATTTGAATCTTAGGGCTGTTTGAAACTGTTTTTTATTTTATTATTCTGAGAACTGGTATTCTATAAAACATGGTCTGAGAATAAAAAAATAATAAAAATAAGTGTTTTTCTCATTCTCTTTTGTTCTCCAAAACAATAATTACAAAATATTTAAAAGTTGTTTTCATTTTTCTGTTCTTCAAAACAATATTTTGTTTTTTTGTTCTCTAAAACACTTTTTTGAAAACACATTATCAAACGAATTTTTTTTCTTTTGTTCTGGAGAACAGAAAATTGTTCCCAGAACAGATTTCCAAACAGGCCCTTAATCTTCAATCATTATTGCCTTTTCTTTTACTAATCTCTAAATAGTATTTAGAATAAAGATGACGCAACTTTAATTTATTCAAATTAAATTTCTTTTATATTTTTAAGGAATTAATAAATAATATTAGTATTTAAGAGCACAGTAAAATTGTGAGTTAATATTTATAAAATTTTTGAGTTAAAAAATAAATAGATCTAGATTTAAAAATGAGATAGAAATGGTTTAAAACTCTATATATAATTGTAAAATATAAAACTCATACTCTCCACACACGTTTTCCCAACTTATTTGGGGGGGGGGGGTGTTGCATGTGGCTCCGCCACTGTCCGCAACAGATAAGCGCCAAAATCCTGAAAGTGATTGAAGGAATTCTCACTGTGTAGCGTCTCCTCTCTCTTTTTCCCTGTATGTCCGAGTGTTCTATTACTTGTTGGTTATTTTCTAAAATAATAAATAATATGAAAATAGGACATTAATTCTTAAATTATTTATTTCTGGACTTTTCATATTGGATCATCCCATGACGGGCGGCCTAAAATCCAACATGGGATTTAGTGATCAGGCCGATAGTTTATACTTTTCATCTTTCAATGTTGGGTGGCGGTGGATTTCTCAATGCAGCTTTTTTTTAACCTTGAAAAAGAATAAATTTTATTATGATTTAACCTTGATTTCCACAAACTGGCTTTAATTTTTCTAGGAGGAGGATGTCACCAATTGTGGTCTATTTTTGGTGATGGGGCAAATTAGTTCAATCATGGGTAGAAAATGGGCCTTTATTGTGAGGATTTACATGGCTACGAAGAAGCCAATCCATGCTGGTACTCCTAGTACTGGAGTATTACTGTGGTTTTACGTTGTTATTTGCTTTCAAATGTTCATATTACTCCGATATATGGATGGGATAGAAAAACAAGTTGGAGCAGGACTACAAGAGTATGGGGAAACATGATTATTTTGTCAAACAAATATTGAGAGGGTAGTGCTTCACGTAATTCACTGACATTCCAGGCATGCTTTTCATTTTATAAAGGGTTTTTTTCCCCAGTGACGTTCACTATGAAGCTGGATGTAATGTGACTGTTGTCCTGCAGCAGTTGTTTCTATGTCTGCTACGTCTGCACATGAATAATAAGAAACCATTAGTTACCACTGTTGTATTACTTGTTTGTTAAGAATAATTAATAGCTGGTTTCACTGCTCCTTTTTATGGTCGCTTGTATAACGTCAGGAACAGTAAAGTGCAGAGCATGAGAAGAGGAAGAAAAGCGTTTGAGTTGCGGTTCATTTGTAAACTATTGGTGCGCACTGGTATTGTGTGACAGTTTCAAACTTCTGTTTGGAAAAATTCAGAGTCACAAACTTTTTAAGATGGGAGGGATGTTATGCCTTCAAAATTGGAAATTTACTTTACTTGTTTGGTTCTTAAGAAGGGTAAACAGGTAGCATTTTTATAGAAATTTAAGCCATTTTTTTCCTTATGATAAATGATTTTATACTTGAATTTAATAAGGACCCATTTGACAAGCATGCTTATCCAGGATGCTGCTTATGACTTTCATTTTTTGGCTGGACATATCAATTATGCTCATGCTTCTATCTGAGTTTCAGGGGTCTCTATTTGAACTAGTTTAATATCAAACTTGAATTGCGCTTGTTCGTGCTTACATTTTGCAACCTAGCTTGGCACGAGAAGCTCTGTGTCACGCCGTACCAGAGCAAATAGTCTTCAGGTAAACTTAAAATTCCTACATCATTCCTTACATTTTCCTGGCGCTAAAAAAGCTATGATAGACGTGCACTGAATATAAAATTTCTGACTTGATTGATCTTCTTATTACAATAGTTTTTTAAAGTCGCACATTAGTGGAATTGGGAAAGAAGAGGAGCGTCTAGTGTTCCTATAAATAAGCCTCTTACTTGTCTAGTTATGAGAGCAGGGAAAGTCTTGAGAAATAGCACAATGGTGTAATCGAAGTTTGAGGAGTCATGAGCAAGACGGTGTTTAAAATTTTATATTTTAATGGTTTTATGCTTATCATTTTATTGGAGATAAACATTTTTTGCCAAGTTTCAATCTATACAACTATAGATAATCTGATTGTTGGTTCTTGCATTTTTAAAAGATTTGAAGGTTTTTATATTTAAAACGTAAAGAGAAGGGTAAACTTGATGAGTGTAAGTATCCAACTTTTGAGGATCCATAGGGCACAATCAAGAGTTAATCGGAACCATTTTTAGATAAGTAATGTTGTACTCATAATTTTAAAATGAAAAATTACATTAAAGTCCTACAAGAGAAAGTTTATTATTGAGAGGTCTCATGAATTTTACAAAATACTCTCAAGTCTAAAATTTTGTCCATTGACAATTTGACTAAGGGTACTATAATCAAGCCATGGTCATTTACAACTTACAAAAAAAAATGACAACTTACAATAACGAGTTATTAATAGTCATTACCTGGTTGTTAAAATATTTAGTTAAATTGTCAGTACATAGTATTTGAGACTTGGGGAGTGGTTTTGTAAATTATAGGATCTCTCGGTAATAAACTTTCTTCTGTGAGATTTGAATGTAATTTTCCTTTAAAATCATAAAATTAAATAAAAATAAAATTAGATAATATTAAAAATAAATAATACTAAATTTATATATAAAAATAAATATAAAAATATAAATTATAATTTTATAACTTGTCAAATATAAGTAGATCTTAATTAAATTAGATATGAGAAGACTCAAAATATTTACATTTACACCTAAAACTATCGACGTCTTTATAAAAAAATGGTATCAATCATATTTTATAACAAATTGTTCTAAGTTGGCTTTTAGTAGGATCTAATTTTTTAAATTTCTCTATTTTTTAAAATTTTTAAGCTTTTTTTTAATATTATGTTTTAAATTGTCCAAGTTTTATGAAAATGCTTTAGTTTCTAATTCAATTTTGACGTCTGGCTTAATAATAGCTTAACTCTTATTATCTAAGCCAGCTCAATCATGAAAAAGGTTTTTTTGGTCCAAATTGAAGTCATCAACGATGGTTCCGATTGATAACTCTAGGTACAAATGCAAATACTTTTAGTCTTCTCATATCTAATTCAATCAACATTTACATATACTTGAGAAGTTATAAAATTATAATTTATAATATTATTAATTTATAACATTTTATTAACATACTATAAGTTTTTTCCTTATATTTTTTTATATAGATTTAATATTGTTTTTATTCAATAGTATTATAATTTTATATTTTATATATATACATTTAATATCATTATAATTTTATTTATTTTTATTTAATTTTATGATTTTTAAATTGTGAGGGCAATATTGCTTTTTCGAGAATAATTTAAGGGCAAAATTATATTTTAATTCATAAAAAATAAGTTTCATTCACTAACTACAATAACGGATGTTTAAACGACAAGAGCAATATTACTTTGATTTAATTAGTTTAGCCACAACATTGCCACAATAAATAATTTAGAAACAACATTATTCTTTAAAAAATAGTTAAAAATAAAATTACATCTTAACCCTAAAACCTATTATAGCTTTCTTGCTATCTATAAACAACTAATCAGAGGGGGTTTAAAATAAAAAAGAGTTAGTTCCTCACAGTGCCACAAATTAATGAACAATACTATAGTTCTTAAAACAATCTTGATCAGATTTTTGGTTTATGACTATAATACAATATAATATATAATAAGCAATACTTACTTTTTAAAAGGAAAAAATACTAATTTTTAGAATATAATTATATAAGAAAAATATTAATTAAAATAATTTGTTTTAATTTAATGGCAATTATCATTAATTTTTGTAAATATTTTCAAAATAGTGTTTGAAGGAGGCAGAGAGAAGATGAGCCATAATAAACACATGGATAATAATACAGTCCCTTGTTAGAAAGTAACAATAATAATAATAATATAGTCCCTTAATTTGTGGCCGATACGGAAGCCTCATCCACGAATCTTCCTCTTCAAGTTGATCTTCAATCAATCTCATCTCATCATCGCTCACACAGTTCTCAACAACAGCCTATCCCGCCCGTTCGATCGCATCCTGAGCGCCACTTGCACGTTTCTGGCTTGTTTCGTTTAGTTGCTGCGGGACCCACATGTAACGCCTTAACGTGACCCACACTCTCGGCAACGACCACATCACCACTTGACTTAGGATGGACGGTTCTGATCCTGCATATCCACCGGCGTGTCCTGAATCTTTGGTGGCCCTACGTTTTAAAAAATAGTGCTTCATCATCTCCTTGTCGACGTCGTCATCGGCCTCTCATTCACATAAAATGGATTAAAAATTGTTGATTTCAAGTTTTGTGGGAGTGTCTTTGAATAAAAGCGCTCCCAAAAAATTCTTTGCCTTTGAAATCCAGGTTCAGGGAGGGAGGGAAAAGAGCGAAAGAGAGATAACTTCAGAAGATGGGAAGCCTTTGTTTATGTGATTCTCGGAGGAGGAGTCGCTGCTGGCTACGCTGCTCTCGAGTTCGTTAAAAGAGGAGTTGCTCAGGGTGAGCTCTGCATAATTTCTGAAGAACCGGTAAGATGATTTTGTTTAACTTCGCTGGTTTCTCTCTCTTCTTCGTTGCTGTCGTGTGTTTTCTGGCACTTGTCCGTCTCCTTGATATTTTCCTCAAATTCCTCATGCTCAAGCACCCCGATTAAAGCTTTGTTTAAAATTTTTTTCGAATTTTATGGCGGAGATGTACGTGGCAATACCATCTTCTAGTTCGCGGCTTTGGTTGACCCGTTGATGATTTTGTTCAAATACACAACACGACTGTAATGTAGCATTATTTTTAGTTTTTACCCTGGAGCTGAATTACTGCATATCTGTGTGTGTGTGTGTGTATTGGCCTTGGTTCTTGATTGTTGCGCTTATTAGAATTTGCTTTAAAACCAGAATAACTGGATGACGACATCCAGTTCATTTTTTCTCTAGAAATAAGTGAATCTCTTCTTCATAGTCAGAAATGTGTTTCAGGTTGCTCCTTACGAAAGACCCGCATTAAGCAAAGGATTTTTTACTTCCAGAAGGTATATATAAACTATCCCATGACAACCTATGAGCAGCGAACTTTGATTTGTGAGATTCCTTTAAATGCATTTTATGCTTCGTGTGAGCAAAGGAAGACATATGCTTATTCCAGATGCTTATTCCATATGCTAACATGGATATAACATGGACAAAACTTACTTATAAGTGTTTATACTACTTTCTTTGTATGAGCCACTTCTTTGCAACATGGTCTGTTTGCCCCTTCATAAATCAATTAGTGCGTTCTTTCAATATAGTCTCTTTGAGCATCATATGAACTTTAAACGGTTAGGTTTGCAAAATTTAATAACTACCTATTTTCTGAAATTTCTCTAATGATCTATGAAGTTTTTCATACTGCGACTGTTCTCTAACTCATCTGATACATGTCGTTGTTCAGGATATTTCATTGTTGAGTGCTCTTTCTTTTTGGGGAACTGTAATTGTACATTTTAGTTTTGACGCCTTGTGTAAACATCAAATAGTTTTTAAATAGATCTGCTAATGAATCCAGGGAAGTAAACTATTGTGTTTGGTATATTAATACTTTGAGGTAGATTTACGGGTAGAATTCATGCGCACCTCATTTTGGCATCCTGTTGCTTTTTTCTTTTCAATAATATAATTATTCAAAATTTGAATTGTATTTGTGAATCTAAGATGTTACCCTGTAAAATTGAAGAATTGAGGTGGGAACTTAGGGTGGTGCTTCCATCTAGGCAAATTATTTTCATGCTTTTCTCGATGCTTTGAGGATGATAGATAGCTGTACTTGTTTTCTTTCATTGCATTGTCTTTTTCCATTACACTATAGCTTATGTGTTTAAAAGTTTCTGAGATGAAGTTTAAATGTTCAGCCCCTGCGCGGCTTCCTGCCTTTCATACTTGTGTTGGTGCAAATGGAGAAAGGCTGACTCCAAAATGGTATAAGGAACATGGTAATGAACTAATTATTTTCTCATTAATTTCTTATCTTTTACAAAGTAATTTAGCAAAGTTGCTTCCTATTTACCTTTGATCCCTTTTGAGTTTTGAGTGACTGTGTTCTGAATATGTTCTGAACCTGTCTTTGTAAGTGAGTTTATTTGGTGCTGACAATTGGCATTTCATAGAGTAAAAACTTGATTTGACAGTTGATACATGTATGAATAGTGGATTACGATTAAATTTTTATACATGAGAAGTTGACCACCAATTTCACTTTTATGACAAGTGCTTTTATTTTAAATTTTTGAAGGTGTGGGACAATAATTGGGTTAATACAAGTATATTTAACAGCTACTGATGGTGGCAACCAACGCATAAAGGCATTTACTGATTTTCTTACTCTTTGAATATATTAGCTTGTTCGATTATATATGTTTGCATTCAGTGGGCGGTTGGGTACAGCAGCAATTTTCTGTTACGTACTATTATGTTCATGGCACCAAACTTAGCGACTAGCAAGACATTTTTTCATGCAGTGCATGGGTTCAAAAAGTGAGCCACATTGTTCATGTCCTATGAATAATATGGTGTTGTAGATTATATATATATATATTGATATATTGATTTTCACCTCTTATAATGCAGCATGCTTCAGAAGCTATAGCTCAATAGGCCATATCAATTATTAGTCGATTGATGATGGGATTGGGGGCGTAGTTTATTCGAGGAGATTGCATCTTGTCCATTCAAATCGTGATAAGAGATTGCATAAGAGAATTCACCTTTTATCTGCAATAATTAGATGAATATGACCAGTCAAAGAAAAAAGAAAACAAGAAAAAGGCCCCGAATTAAATGCAATAGCTGATGACTTTCATATTTTGCTGTTGATATTCATAGAATAGGCCTGACTAACAATACCACTATATCGTGTTTTTCTTTTTTAAATTTCTGACTCTTTTCTTCAGTTACTTTTATTACTGATCAGATGGTTTCATGTTTTTCCCCCAAAAGAACACTTATTTTGTAAATTAAGGAGGTTCCTCCCTTAATATCTACTTCTTCTTACCGCTTCTATTTCCTTGCCAGGTATTGAATTAGTTCTTGGAACACGAGTCAAGTCTGCTGATTTGAACGCAAGACATTATTAACAGTAGCTGGAGAGACCATAAGTTACAAGATTCTCATCATTGCTACAGGTGCTCGGGTATTGAAACTATTCTCTTAGTGGGCTTATTCTTTTTATCAGTTCATCATGTTAACCTAGTGCTTGCATGTGATTGTTTTCGAAAGAGAAATAGGGAATAGGTTTTGGCGATTTGCTACACTCACACACAGAGGTCATCATCATCACTACCCCCAAGAAGACATGCAAAATAGAAGGATTTGGGAACATCTTTTATTCTAGCTGACATAAGAAATAGCTTATCCATTTAAATGCCCGGAATTAATATTAATGTTGGATTAATTGAGAATAAATAACAGAGGTGCCACAGTAGATTCTGTTCTTTCTTTGTTGAACAATATTAAGTTTGTTTGCAATATCAAGTGCAGGCTTTAAAGCTTGAAGAATTTGGAGTGAGTGGATTAGATGCTGAAAATGTTTGCTATTTACGGGACTTGGCTGATGCTAATAGGTTGGTTAATGTCATGCAATCCTGCACTGGGGGAAGCGCTGTTGTCATCGGCGGTGGGTACATAGGCATGGAGTGCGCTGCGTCTCTAGTGATCAATAAAATAAACGTGACCATGGTCTTCCCTGAAGCACATTGCAGTAAGCAATGACATCTCAACAATGTCCTGTTTGTCAATTCCTGTTTATGTTCGGGCCAAAAAAATAAATAAAATATAATCCTGTTTATGTCCATGTATCACAAGTTTAAACCAGCTGCTGCTAAAAACTTTGTTGCCCTGTAATTTGAAGATTACAAGATATGCATGACTTAGATGTGTTGTTGATTCTACAGTGGCTCGTTTGTTCACTCCAAAGATTGCAAACTACTATGAAGATTATTACAAATCAAAAGGAGTAAACTTCATTAAGGGAACTGTGTTGTCATCGTTTGATTTTGACTCAAATGGGAAGGTACTTGAAAATTTTCTTCATTTTCAGAATGATTATTTAACCTCTGAACCAGGAGAAACTAGCGTCTTTTTTAGTTGGAGGTAAAATCCCCTTGGTTCATTGGACTTAGAGCGAGGTAATAGGTTTTCTTAAGAAAAAGGGTAAAAGATGGCGCATTAGTATTGGTTACCTCTCACCATAGTCTGGAGTTCAATCTCTGTCATCCTGCACTGTCTGAAAACTAAATTTCTGCACAAGGGTGGTTTGCTCTTGTTTTTATTCACACTCGAAGCACGAAAAGCTTTTGTTGCAGGAGGGTACATCAGAGATGTTAACAAAACAGAATGAGCCTGCCCTTAATTGTTCAAATTCTTTAACTAAAATGACCACCCTTAACAATTACCTGGTTGATTTTTTTATAAAGGTTACAGCTGTTAATCTAAGAGATGGAAGCAAGCTATCCACAGACATGGTTGTGGTGGGAATTGGAATACGCCCAAATACAGGTCTGTTTGAAGGCCAACTTACTTTGGAAAAGGGCGGAATCAAGGTAAATGGAAGATTGCAGTCAAGCAACAGTTCCATCTATGCAATAGGAGATGTTGCAACTTTTCCTGTCAAGCTATTTGGGGAAACTCGTAGACTTGAGCACGTGGATTCAGCACGAAAGTCTGCAAGACACGTGGTTGCTGCCATTATGGAACCAGAGAAGACAGTGGAATTCGATTACCTGCCTTTTTTCTACTCGAGAGTTTCTCGTTGTCTTGGCAATTTTATGGGGATAATGTTGGAGATGTAGTCTATTATGGAGATATGTCAGGCAGTACATTTGGAGCGTACTGGGTGAGCAAGGGTCATCTTGTCGGGTCATTCCTTGAAGGTGGAACCAAAGAAGAGTATGAAGCCATAGCCAAAGCCACCAAGCTAAAGCCTGAAATTGAAGACTTGTCAGAGTTGGAGAGGCAGGGTTTGGAGTTTGCGGTGGCAGTTAGTCAGAAACCACCTGTATCTTCTTTGCCCGTTGACGTTGATGCGCCTTCTGGCCTGCTTCTGGAAAAACCACTGTACGCTTGGCATGCTGCGGCTGGAGTTATTTTTGCGCATCAATAGCTGCGTTTGCATATTTTTACGGAAGGAGGCGTCGAAGATGGTGAGATTCCTGACGCAAGAGGCTAAGTTTGTAATATTCGTAGACTTAGAATATATATATGTACACATATAGGGTTACTTCATTGTATCTGATCAACTTAATCGACTGCAATTCTTCAGCCATATTATTTTTCTCACATGGTCCTGGTACCAAAAGGAAAATATTTATATATGCATATATTATATATTATTAATGCCCGATGCCCGCCCCTCTTCGCGAAATAGTCACTCCCACATTGCCACACAAGAGGCAGGCTTGTTTGGTTACGTGTGCAATGGTAATCATTATTGCATTATCATTAAGAGCGTAGTTAACTTTTTAGTGGACTGATGATAATATATAATACACATCATTGTCGAAAATAACATTAATACTTATTCATATCTCCCTCTTATGAGTCTTCTTAAGGAAGTTGCATTGGGTAAGGTCTTGTGGTGTGACCCTGTCTTGGGGATTCAATTCAACCCTTGGAATGAAACCCAAAAAAGAACAACAGTGTTGGCACTGAGCTCTGTTGTCCAGTGTAATGCGGTTTTTTGGGTGGTTTAAATAATAAAATTAATGCGTTCCATATTTAAATTATAAAATACTTTTAACTATATTCCACTTTATAAATAAAAATAACTATTTCTTATATTTTCATTTCTGTCTTAATTTTATTACTAAGAGTAAGAAAAAATATTTAGTTAGATTATATTTTTCATGTCTATATTAATTAATACAAACTACAAAAGATAAATCTAGAAAAATACTCCCGACGAGGATTTAGCGTCCTCCTAGCTTAGATGTGGAAAACAGTCTTACGGTTAGTTTAGTGCGGATGAGCAAACACTGAGGCCGGTGCCTGGTTGAGTAATTACGAGCAATTTGCAAGGGCACTTGTGTCACTACGGATAGAGACGTAGCTACAAGCACCCACACCCATTTTGCTTTCATCTCCTTCCTTATCCTCTATTTCTATCTCGTTCGAATTCCCCTCTTATCCCTCACCCGGAGGAGAAGCAGGAGAGTAAGAAGCAGCGAGCAAATTCACAATGGCCGCGACTCTATCCACTCTCACTCTTCGTTCCCCTTCTTGTTCTACTCCTTCCTCTTATCCTTCCCACTCTTCCACCTTCTTCAGACCCTCCCTCCGGTTCCCCTTCTCTCCCCATCCCAATCTTATCCAGCGCGCCACCCATATCCGCCCCCCCGCCGCCGTCGCTGCCCCCGAGAAGATCGAGAAGCTCGGCGCCGATATCTCCAACCTCACCCTCGAAGAGGCTAAAATCCTTGTCGATTACCTCCAAGACAAACTTGGCGTCTCCGCTGCCGCCTTTGCCCCCGCCGCCGTGGCTGCCGCCCCCGGTGCCCCGGCCGACGCGGCCCCTGCAGCAGCCGAGGAGAAGACTGAGTTTGACGTCATCATCGATGACGTCCCCAGTAACGCGAGGATTGCTGTTATCAAGGCCGTAAGAGCCTTGACGAGCTTGGCTCTGAAGGAAGCTAAGGACCTGATTGAAGGCTTGCCGAAGAAGTTCAAGGAAGGTGTTTCCAAGGATGAGGCTGAGGATGCCAAAAAACAGCTTGAAGAGGCTGGAGCAAAGGTTTCCATCGCTTAAATTTTATAGTCTATGCAGGATGGTTCGTTGAATTTGAGCTTTATTTTTTTTAATGTAATTTTATAGCTATTTCTTAGTTGAGTACAGTGTAATGTGATTGTTTATGCCTGAATTTCAAGTCAGTTGCAATCGAGGGGTTCCATTTATGAATCGCATTCTAATCTCATTGGGCTTGCACTTGTTTTTACATTTATTCTGTCACGGTTTTAATCAAAGTTGGGTGAGTAATTTGAACATTGATTTTTTCTGTCTCCATCTGCAGTTGTTGCTAAATTTGTTTGACTGATTTCTGGAAATCGAGCTATTGTAAATCGACTATACAGATAGAGAGCAAACGAATGTTGTATTTCAAGAAATTTATCTGTTTGTGCAAGATTTGATCTCTCAGTAAAGATAATTGATGATTGCGTTATGAGAATTGAATCGTGGTTTCACAAAGGACTTGTCCGCAGCAAATACAACGGCTCCATTTGTGGAGAAGCCCTGTTCTCTGACAAGAAATCTTCATCTTGCTGGTGACTGTAACTGAGAATAAATGATCTTAAGTCTCTCTTGAATTCAGTGAAGCATGAAGATGTTTGGTGCTGATGAGTTTCTCGGAGCTGTCGATGGTTTTACTTCAAATTCATTTGTAAACCCAGTCAAAAAAGTTTTAGCTAACTATTTCATGCATTTCAAGAATCTTATTTTAAACTGCTTGATGTGTGGTTTCTATAAGTTAAGCTACATCATAAACCACCAATGTTTTGCTTATTGTTATTAGGCTAGAAAATAGTAATGTCTCAATGGTGTTAATTATTCCCTTCGTCTTTGTTTGAACATTGGTTTACCTGCCTGTTATTAGCCTCGTGTCTCTTTGGAAATTCTGGCATTTTTTCCCCTGGTGATTATCGTTCGATGGAGTGAACTGGATGCTGAGAATGCAGCACCTTCCTTGACATTTCCCTAATGGCCTTGCTCCTGTGTTAAGTTTAATGTCATGTTTTGAGATCAGACTAGGCGCACTGATAGTTTAGCTAAATTTGCACAGGTTACACTGACCATAGGTGCTTTTATAATCATCCTCCACCTTGGTTACAAGAGGTTGGCGAGGAAGAAAGAAGAAAGATGACATTTAACGATTTTTTTTCAATTCTCATATTTCAAATTTCCAGTGTCTATCTTTAATATTTTTGGCACTCAATTCTTCAATTTTAAGTGTGATTTGGTGTTTCTGAATTGCTATTTGTCTGTCATGCTCTCTCCCCCCCCCCCTCCCTCTCTCTAATATGAACAAAATTTAATTATTTTTTAATTTGAATACATAATTAATGAAGTAACTGTTCCCCTTTGATTTCGATAGGTGGATGAAAATGATATATAAATAATACGGGGAAGAATATGTGTGTGTGTGTGAAAATTATAATCATAGCTATGGCATGAATATATGTCTGAAATTCGTAAACATCGGACCTCGCCAGCCATAATTTTGGAATGATAGAAGAAAAACATTAGGTGATGAATGCAAACACATGTATATGGACCAGGCTAAGTTTGGATCAATCCATCAGCTTTTTAATCTAAAAAATGGTTTTATTCTATAGTGAAACCAAATCATATTTCTGTCAAATTCTATAGTGTAATCCTCTAAAAATTCATATCAATTTTTTGCCAATTATATAATTCCACAAACAATTGTATTCATTAAACACTTATTATGATAGAAAAATGTTTACTATGATAATAAAAAATAAAACTTATTTTCAAAATATTATCATGACAAATAAAAGTTTATTATGGTAAAAAAAAAACTTTAGATATTGTTAAAACCTTTACCATGGTAAAAAAAAAAAAGATTACCATGATAATTATAAGTCAAAATCATTTATAAATTCTTATCATCGTAAAAAAATTTTCTTCTTACAATCAAAATATGTTTCAAATTGAACTATCATGGTAAAAAAAAAATTTATCATGATAGAAAATATTACATAAAATAAAATTGACCTCTTATGATAACTTAGAAAGTAAATAATTTAAATATAATGTACCTAACAAGATCTCATTAAAGCAAGTAATAAAGTCAAAAAAGATGTTACAAAACTCTTTTATTAGTGAAACATGATTCTCATGAGGCTAATCTGTCCAAAAACAAGTTTAAAAAGATAAAGTGTAAAAAATGACTTTTCTAAAATTAAATATCAAAATAGGAACAATACTAAAATCTTGAAGTCATTTGCCATGGCTAACACTATTCCCTTAGCGGTGGACGACACAAAGGAGGAAATACTCATGAAGGGCATGTATTGTGGTGAAAAGGGGCGCGAGTTGTGGCCTACAACATAGACAGATTATGACAATTTCAACTTAGTAACATTTTCCTTACACAATAATTACATACATATTGAATGTGCTTACAAAATATGCATTTTCAAACCAAACACATTTATATACAAGATTAAATTCCCATCTGATAACACATTATCTCAAACACTTAATGTTCATTTTTGATATATGAATTTCCAAAACACAATTATTGCATAACAAAAATACATGATTAACTACAAAACACACACCATAACATAATAGAAACAGTTACCTTTGTTGGTTGTTAGCAAGGTTCCTTGAACAAGAAAGTGATCATCTTTAATGATCTCAACAATATAATCTACACACTATATAATACTAATTATCATTAATACAACAATAATTATGACCAATCATAGTGCTTATACACTAATATAGGGTTAGGTTAATTAATCTCTTTAACCTAAACTCTTCTCATACAATTTAATCATCAATTTTAGTCTCATTAATCATCATTACCCCTCTCATTCATGAATTTAACTCCCATAGTCAAAAAATCATCATTAGTGTTCCACTACCAAGCCTAGGATTTTGGATATAATAATCATATGTTATAAATAACATTAAAACTATCTAAATAATACTTGTCTAACCTCAAAACATTCTTAAAAGTCAGACCCATAAGCTGGGCATATTAAAAAATGAAACTCTAACATTAGTCATTGATTAAATCGTCAAAAAGAGGACATCAATAAGTAGAGGTAAGATTAAACAAGTTTACCTTAAAAATTTAAGACACAAAACCATGCTTTAGGGTGGAGAACTTCAAAACCCTAGCAGAGCCATTAAAAATTGCCCAACAATACTTCAAAATTACCATTCTTTGCGCTTGTTTCAAAATAGACTAATGAATGGTGGTTTTACGTCATCCACCTCATTATGAGCTACATTGGATAGCGCAAAATGCAACACTTCAACTTGGTCCCTAATGTTGGGCTAGGTCCGGCCTAATACCTCATATGGACCCTAATTAACCTTCATACATCTTTAGGCTCAATTTAATTCCTAGTTAAGTGTCTAAACATTGGATTAGACTCAATTATCCTTAAACGTAATTAAATTCCTCAATTAAGCCTCAAAATAATAATTCTTCTAATTTAGATCCTCAATAAACCCATAATTTTTACAATTAGATTCTTAAATAAAAACTGAGATATTACACATAGCACTTTATAAATTCCATTTGAAATGAGCAACTTATACATGTTCTGATTTTTAGGTACATTTGCTTTGCAATTGAGACGAGACATCTTTGTATCACCAACATAACCATTCAGTAAATAATTGATCCTTTTAAGATGTAGATTTGCAAAAACTCCCATGTTTCTCGGTCAACTAATTTTTATAGTGAAATGTTCAACTTCCATGTACATAGATTTCGAGGGAAAATACCAACCCCCGACAACCTTACCCAGTTACCCACGCAATCGATATGCCAGGTCTCTTATATTGATGATGCTACAACCTCCTACTTCTTTGAACCCTATGAAGCAAGCTGTCCGTCCATTTTCAGTGAATCCAAACTCCCAAGTTCGACAATTCTAGTAGCTTATCTCAACGTCCTCTGGACAGCTCCAGGTGATGATATCTCAATACATACTGAGACCAAGCTAAACTGAATTGACAAAATCCATTTGGAAAAGTACAAACTACAATTAAAATTTCCAATATCAAAGGGCATGAGCATCTTGTTGGTAATGCCTGTGAACTCTGTGGTTCCTTTTCCTGTAATCCATGGGTCATGTGACGTTGGCATCATTACAAGACAACTTATTAGCCTGATCATGCCTCGTGCAACTACGAAAGGCTATTATCAATGAGAGGAGTGGACCACACGACCTGGCTTGTCTGATTTGAGAAACACTACATTCTTGCTCCATTGGCTCAGCCTCGTCATGCCTTGTCCAACTATTTGGAAGAAGGAGCTTCACTCCAATGACCATGTCTCTCTTGTGAAAAGATTGTGAAGGCTGATCGAGATTCAATTTTCAATAATATCTGAAAATGGTTTTCTTGATCAATTCGTCCTTATCCTCTTACTCCTTGGTAGCTGTCAAGATTTTTCTCGTTATTTTGTAATTTAAAATGTCTTCCAATTAAAATATATATTTGCCTTGTTGAAAAGGCCCTTCTACGACTGCGAGTAATGCCATCGTTATGAAATTGCACATTGAATGAGTTCAGTGTGCACTCTCTTTAGGATATTATATTCTTGTGATGCTTGCATTTTTTTTCCTTCTTCTCTATCTAGCTGCCAATTTTGGTTGCGTTGTTACTTGACGGGTGCTTATTTTTAACTTCTTTTTGCTGGTTTGCACTATGAAGTTGTATTCTCACCAAGAGATATTGATTTTCATAAGCTTTTTCAGTATAAGTTTACCTTATTTCTTTTTTTAAAAATCTGACCTCTCACTCATAGTTTCTTTGAATTAATCGCATAAAATTGTTTTTAGGAAGATTCAATTATAAAGGCTGAATTATATTAAAAAGAAAAAAAAAGCTCCAATGAAGTTCCATTTTTTTTGGGGGGGGGGCCCTGACCAATGAAGTTTGACTCATATGAAAATCCTTTGATATTTGACAACGAGTCCTCTCAAACATTTAATTTCGTATGGATAACTCACTACCGTCAAATTATTCAGTTATTTTGCAAACATAGCATGATATATATGGTGCTCGCTTGAAGAGAAACCGAGCACGATACATATTACCTAATATCCCATTAAATCTTTTTTTTTTTAATGTTATTCCTCAAAACTACATGTTATTTGTAGTTAACTTTTATACTTTACGTCATCTGCATATAAATCCTTTTTTAATATAATATAAATTTAATGAAAAAACAAATAAAATAATGATACGAGAGTTATTTACACAAATACAGTCCACATAAATAATAGATTTTCCTCTCAATACCCTACACTCACAAATGTTACATTTTTATTTACTAAGTTTTTGAAAAGCTACGGCTGCTCGTCGGAGGAATCGCCATTCGTCACCACTCAGGCAATCTGGGCTGCAAATTAGAAAGAAAGAAGCGAATCTCGATGCTGGAAGTTTATAGAATAATAATAAAATATTATTACATTGTGCTTTATGTCGTGATTGATGATAATTTTAGGTGAATTCAGCTTGAATCATGTTTATGGGGGAAAAAGGAGAAAAGAAAAATTGTTATGAAAAGCTTTAAAAAATGTAATTCGTGAATAATGAATGACAAAGAAAGCGGACAAGAGAGATATCAGAGGACAAAATACGCGGCATAAAAATAGAGCGAGTAGATAGGGTATAAGTGTACTCGCGAGAATAAGTGCTGAGTGTCCAAAACTACGAAGCTTCTATCACAACAAAAGTCCCGAGGCATTAGGGACCGTCGGATCACGAATGAAGGGCTTAGACTCAGAATGTCCACCGCCTGACTCAGCTGAGCCCTGTGATAAATGAAGGCCTTCTGGGCATGGCAGCTCACGCTCCCCTTGAGATTTTTCTCACGCTCGAGAATATGCGCCTCTCTCGCTCCTTCAGGCTTCGACACACACACACTGATTCTATCCTTTCGGGTTATTTACTTATTTTAATGAATGAATGAATGCTTCGTATTTATATGCCCAGTGTTGGATTCGCCTTCTTCCATCTCCTGCTCTCTTTTTGTTTCTCTCTTCCTCTGATCAGTTCTTGAGTTTGTATATTTTCAAGAGTCGCTTCAACGCATTAACTTCGGAACCCTAGCTTTTGTTCTTCAGGTACCCCCCCTCCCCTTCTCTTTCTTTCTGTTGCTCTCGCTTTTTTTCATTTTGTTTAATTAAATTGTTGCTATTAGTTTATCTTTTTAGTTGATCTTCTTTGATCTTCCATTAGCGAGTAATGTTTTTTAAATTCCAATTCGTTAGCTCACACCGTTAAACCCAAACCCTAGAATATGTTGCTTCTTACGTGCCCTCCCTCCTTTTCTTCGCAATAGGTTGATTTTCCTGGGGAAGTGTTTTCCTTCATGGGCACAGTTGAGACTCGATCTAAAACCTCGATGGAGGGTTCGTCCCTTGCGCCTGCAAGCGACAAGCCTCGACGCTCAGAGACTGAGAGCAAGATCCTTAAAGAAGCTCTTGGCGGTTCGAAAGGAGGGAGTCGAGAAATTGGGGCTAGATTCTCAGGTAATGGACATGGAGGATTGGGGGATGATGAGGAAGGAGTGATCAAGAGCAGGGCCGTTGCAGCCAAAATTCCGATTCAGAGAGGCCGAGAGATAGATATTTCCAACGCAAACGATTGTCAAGGTTTGGGTGATTCCGAGATGAATGGGGTCTCTTCGCTGTTGAAAATGCGGGAAAGTGGCAGAAATGTTAATTTTTCTCATGGTGGTGGGAGTTACAGTGCCGACAAGCTAAACACTAATTATGCTTCTACTGAGAGAAGAACACGAGCTACTGATTCTTCAAGTGGGGAGGGTTTGTTAGGGGCTGGGGTTGAAAAGAGATCATATAGGAAGAAGAAAAGAGAAAGTAAAGAAAATAATGAAAAAGTTGTGACAATTGAAGTTCCAATTGTGGAGACAAGCGAGAACAAGGAATCAGAAGAAGTAGATGCGAGCGATGAAGAGTACGGACTTTCTGTTGGTGATTTTGTCTGGGGAAAAATTAAGAGTCATCCTTGGTGGCCTGGCCGGATTTATGATCCTTCTGATGCATCAGATTATGCTTTGAAGCTGAGACAAAAGAATAGACTCCTTGTGGCCTACTTTGGAGATGGGACCTTTGCTTGGTGTCATCCATCTCAATTAAAGCCCTTTGAGGAGAACTTTGAAGATATGGTGAAACAGAGTAATTCCAAAGCTTTTGTCAATGCTGTACAAGATGCTGTGATGGAGATTGGTAGGCTTTTAGATTTGAAGATGACTAATTCATCTGTTTCTAGGAAAAGTAAGGCTGAAGTTGCTTTGCTTTTGGCGAAGAACTCTGGAATAAAGGATGGAGTTCTTGTACCTGAGGATGGTATAGAGAAACTCTCGACTGTTCTCTTTGACTCTGTTGAGTTACTATCTCAAGTGAAAAAGATTGCAGAGGTTGTTGCTATCAGCAGTGTTCTTGAGCTGGAAATACTAAAGGCTCGACTCTCTGCCTTTTATCTGTCTAGAGGAGGTTATAAATTGCCTAATTATCATGTACCCCAGCCAGTTCTTGGACTCGAAGACAATAGAATTGATGAAACTGTAGATAAAGGCAATAGCAAAGAGACATTAATTGCAACAGTCCATGGACCTTCTGATGAGGAATATTCCTTGCCAGTGAGTCCAAAACGTGGTGAAGTAAATCAATCTTCAGGGACTTCTGGGAGTAGATTGCATCATAGGAGGAAACAGAAAAGCATTGCTGAAATAATAAGAGAGGACAATGATCTTCATACCAAAGTTAACGAGGGGATAGAAAATGAAGTAGTGAACAGTGGCAAAATAACAGGGTTATCTGGTAGAAAGAAGAGGAAAAACCATGAGGATACAATGACAACTACACAAGTGCAGAAGATGCAAGTGTCACCTCCATGTAATGATCGAAATGTACCAAGTGGTGAAATTGGTGGCAGTGGGGGAAATCAAACTACCAATGAGAGCACGTTATCACTCTTGAAAAAGAAGAAAGAGAATATGGGTAATGATAGTGCTCAGAGTAAAATGGAATCAGATGTAGCCCCTGTAATAAGAGAAGAGAACTTGAACGACGAGGAAAAAGAACAAACTGAGAAGGGTTTTTTGTCAAGAGAAAGGAAGAAAAGCAAGTACTTGTCACCTCCTTTCACAACTCCAAGCAGAGGCCAGAGGAAGGGTGACAAAGAAACAACATCGGCTAAGGATTCCAGCAAAGCCCTAATATCAGAGGAGATGACCAGAGCTGCTGGTGATCTCCTAGGGACCCCTGCTCCTTTGAAGAACAATGGTCAGGCAATTCAAGAGGCTATACCTAAACCTGCTGCGATTCAGGAGAATATCCCCAAGGATCCTGCCATAGAGCATGCTCTATCAGATAAATTAAATTCCCAAACATCAGAAGGGAAGAGTGAGACTATTGATCTGAAGAAAATCCAGGCTTCTTGTGGAGAAGTCCTATCTGAAGTCCGCTCTGCCGCCTTAAATCCACAAGTTCCTAAGGATGTTAATTTTCTTAATAAGATTGTGGGCTTTGTTTCTGTTTTCAGAAGCTCGATGTATCGCCAGGGATCCTTCTTTACATTGTGCAACAAACGTCAACCTGGCAGGAAGAGAAAGAATTCAGAATCTGAACCTGGGACGTTAACGAAACCCCAAAACCAAACTGATCGAGTGTCGCCTAATCATGACTCTGAGAAGAGGAAGAGAAGGAAGAAATTGGATACTGTTTCTGATACGCTGAAAGAAAAGCCGGTTACTGAAAATAAGAAGACAGGCAAGAACGGGGGTGACGAAAATGTTTCAGCTGCTGCAATTATGATATCGTTTGGACCTGGATCTTCTCTTCCTTCAAAATCTGAGCTTATAAAGTTGTATAGTGAGTTTGGAGCTCTGAATGAAGCAGAAACAGATATATTCTATTCTAGTTACACCGCCAGAGTATGCTTCCTGAAAACTTCTGATGCCAAAGCGGCCTTTAATCGTTCAAAAAATGTGAGCCCCTTCGGATCTTGCAACGTGAAATTTGAACTTGGGACACGCCCAGTTGGTTCCAAGTCAGGGGAACATCATGAAAAATCAGAAACCAAAGCTTCTCCTGCGAAAAAGGACAGGACACCGGTCAAGCCATCTGCTTCACTGTCAACCATTATTGAGGTATCCAACCTGAACTTCATAAAGCAGAAGCTTGAGGCTATGAGCACAGCGCTGGAAGGACCGGAAGGTATGTCATCAGATATAAAGAAAAAAATAGGGAGCGACATTAAAGGGCTCTTGGAGTGTGTGAAAAGAATGGCTGAATCTTCTTCGTCTTAGATGAAGACTCGAGAGACTTGTATTGATAGTGTAGCTGATCAGGGTAGGTTTAGTAATAATATGTCATTTGCTTTTAGTGGTCTGTGTTATCTGAGGATCAATTTGTATGCGTAATAGCTGTAGACTAAAATTATTTGGCTTAGATGGGTCATCGGATTCTGGTCTAGCTATTTTATTTGTTGCATGCATAATCTGTATAGAGATCAACAGCATTTTATTTTTTTGTGTCTTTTATCACAGTTGCCTAAAAACAGCCTGTAAGGATTAAAACTCAAGTTTTATTATAGTGTTTTTTTGCATCTTTTTTTCATTATGATGTTCATTTTAATAGGTAATCTTGGATCAAGTGCTTGTATTTGCTGAGAGAGGAACTCATCATATGATGGGGTAGGGAAAATAGAGAAAAATCAATGCTTGGATACCATGCCTTTTCCCACTAGGAAAGAGACAAGAATTATTCCCCATTTTGTTTCTGGCCATGGTCATTAGTCATATAGATGGCGATCCCTCTTCATTTTGTATCCTAACTACGTGGATTTGGTTGTTGCTTCATTTATTCTTTTTGATATTTTGATTTCAGAAATAGAACAAGTGAGTTCTTATGTGCTGACTGATCGTTACTCATTAGTTATTTCTCACTGCTAAAAAGTTGTTTGAACATAATAGTTTTTTATATTAATGATACATGTTACAATAATACCATGGATATATTAGAATTTATTAATATAAACCATAAATGCGTAAAATCATTAGTTTTTATTCCTTATCATGAGGTGCCTCTATTCGTGAACGATGGCTTGTTTATTTTACTGGGGCTGGTGTCCTTGCGACGGGAAGTATTATTATAATTTATAAAGCAGATAACAGAGTAAATATTAATGGATTTGAATTTAAATTTTAAATTTTAATTTATATTTAAAGTTTTTTGTTTTGATAGCTTAAAAAATGTTAAATGAAAAAAAGTGAATTGATATATTTGATTGTTAGAAAAATTCAGAATGAAATAAAATGAATTAAAAAATTTAAAATAAATTAATTTTTTTTTCTCTTTTATGATAAAAGGTAAACTAGTACAAATGATCATCATTACACCTTCTAATAATAATTTTATAAATTATGATTTATAATTTTATAAATTAATATTTTTTATAAATATGATTCATTTATCTCCCTTTACATTTTAATTATTTTATTTTTTTAATTTATTTTATTTTAATAATCAAATGAGACTCGAAAATAATGAGTTTACTTGTATTTTTTAATTAATAAATAACGAGAATGAGAAATTAAAAAATATTAAAATAATGAAAATATGAATAGTAAAAATACAAAGCTATCATGAGAATTGAAGTAACTAAAATGTGAGATGAATAGATTTGATTAAAATCCTCGTTAGAAACACACTACAATATTTTCTGGGTAATATTACTGTACTTGGTATGTGGAAGATTAGCAAGGAAAAAATTATACATAGTCGAAAACATGTACCTTATTTATGAACAAGTCCTGTAAATTTGCAAGATGCAATCAAATCCCTTGGGATGTGATTTTAATTTATTATGAGTGTAAAAAGACCACATTATTCTAACTTTAATTTTTTTAATTGCAAATTATGAAATTTTAGTTATACATTATGATGTTTCAGTTGTAAATTTACGAGAACAAGTTGATGAGCACACAAAATACTCTCCTCTTCAATTTATAGCTGGTTATCACAAATTTATAACTAAAATATTGTAATTTACAAGTAAAATTTTATAATTAAACAAGGTCAAAGCTCAGATATTTGGTCTTTTCACATCTGCAGTAAATTACAATCAACTCCCAACATACTGTATTATTTTTTAAATTATTATAACTATCCCTTTCCCATATGGAGGACATTCATGCGAACACATCGACACCACACACCTAATATTGCCCTAAATTATTTGAAAATAGAATTCACAGCCTTTTTTTTTTATTTATTAAACCAAGTGGTTCAATAAAATTTATTTGTAAATAAATTTTTTATTTAAGATTTATATGTAATTTCCCATAGATAAAAATGAGAAGCAAAGTCAAAGGTCAACAATAGATAATGATTATGAATAAGGATATTTTTACATTATGAAAATTGAAAATTTTTACATTTTTCAGTAGGAAAAAATTTCTTCAGTTAGATGTAAGGTAAAAACATTTCAAGGGAAAAAAAAAAAAAAACTACTCGCAACAAGTTCTATCCAGACTTTCTAGGCTCTTATAGGGGAAAAAAACGACCATCCATCTTATTTGGTAACTAGAATACAATTTCCAGAAATAAAATTAAATAACATAATTTTCAAAAATCAAATCAAATCTTATCATCTTATGTTTTTTAAAATAAATTTATTAAATAAGGCTTATTATATATTATATAAAATTTTCATCCTTAATCAATGGCAGTCCTCAATGCCAACTGCAAAGTAAGCATCAGAAGGGATCCCTTCTAGCCCCCTTCCATATCATTCCGGTGACCTCTTGGATCACATTTTTTGTCCTCTCAATGTGAATAAAATTTGATTATGAGCGGTGCATCTTACTACTTTTCCAGGAAATCTAAACTTTTCAATATGTTTTCCAGTCACTCTAGCTAGCAAGCATATTCCCACTGAAACCGACACCAATTTTCGGGTCTCAAGAAATCAGAACTACAAAACAGATATGCAACTGAAATATGATCAAATATATCTGTACACACAAATGGAAATACACGTATCGAGGTAATAGGATGAGCAAGGAAGAAAGCTCGGATCCTGCTCATCATCCTATATTGAACACCTTCGTAGACAAATCTTAATGGCATTCATTTTCTTTGAGGTCAATCAACATTGATGATCTCCAATGTCAGATATCTAACAACAGAATAAAAGTGCGGAAGCAGAAGCAAGGACTTGAAGCACCTGAAGAGACATCAGTCATCAACTGGGTCCTGAGGGGTTTCGTCGGCGCTGCGTTTAATAGTAATGACTGGGCATTCAGCATGCTTCACACAAAATTCACTCACAGTACCTACAAATACCCTGCAGAGCACATTCCCAAGAATTCATTAATCAGTAAAATATCTCAGGAAAATAGAATACATTTCATTTATCTCGGCCTTAAAACCTGGGCAATTCTAGCTCCATCTAATAATGAATTCAGTGCATACCTCTGGAACGGGCCAAGACCTCGGCTGCCCACAACCAGAAAATCTGGCCGCACTCTTGTCACCTCATGACAGATTACTTCTTTCGGATCTCCACGTCTGATCCATGCCCCACAGGCCACCTACAAGTAGAAATAATTCAAAGTGGGCATGCTACGCGCGCGCGCGCATATAGGCAGGAGAAAACTTATATGCAGACCAATTTCACATGAAGAGAATTGAGCTCATTGAATTAGCATTACCCCAATTTGATGACATCTACCGACAAAGTATTCCAGCAGATGAAGTCCTCTAAGCCTATCTCTGTGCTTCATGTTTTTAAAATCATCAGGTGACGCATATATACTATCCATGTCATCAAAACCTAGCAAAAGTAAAGATAACATACCACCCTCAGATTGTAGGTCCTTAGCAGCTTCACCGAATATAAACGCATACTAGTTAGTTGCAGAATGTATGGCATGGATGCAAATACAAATAAATCATCAAGAACAAAAAATATAAAGTAACAAAATTGACTTCAAATCACGATAACTCAACATACACAACCTTTAGATTGTCATACTCATTTCTAAATTGCAAGGCATGATCAATCACTCAGTAATTACAAAGATCCAAACACTGTCATATCCTAACATTCTTCTATTTTGTCAAAGTTTTGAGGATTAACCAAAGTGTTTCTCAGCAAGTATTAATAGGAGATAGATTTGTCTTATATAGCATAATCACAAGCATTGCATGAGAAGAGGTTTTACGCTAAGAGGAAAAGATGTTTACGACAATTTAAAATGATTCAAAACAATTGTTCTATGAAGAAAATAGAATAACGTCAAAATTTACTTTAAACAACCAGCAAATGAAGTCTGCTCATATTGCAGTCAGTTCACCTGCAAGAGAGGTCGATAGGCTATAGGAAAACTGAGTTGGATCATGTATGTGTAAAAATAACTGAGAATAAGAGTACAAATCCAAGATATGAACAGAGTCGGCCCTTCTAGTGTCAGACTGAGACTTTCTTTTGGCAGCTGTTGGGTGCCTAACAGCAGCATGTCAACCAAGCCTATTCTCATTAATATGTGGACTACATTCTAGTTGAAGAATAAACAGATCAATCATCAAGTACAAACACATTAAAATAACCATTCAGATGTCATACTATCAGGGGGAAAAGGCTGCATTCTGCAGCTGTGACAGAATCAAATCCTTCCTTATTCACCATAGGAAACAGTGAGATGCTGAAACCAACCATAAAGCCAAAAAGTTGCTAAGAATTGGGTAGTCCAAAAATATGAATGAAAATTTGTTAATGGTTTCTTTCAAGAATAGTTATGTCTCCATAGTAAACTACTTATGCAGCCAGCAGTCTTTATCTACATAAATAGACTCTCTTCTCATAAACAATTTCCCTGCTAAAAAGTCTTTTACTAACAAACTTTTCCAAGGAGAAAAATTATCTAGACTTCACATTTTATGCTTTTACGTTCTCCAATAGCAACATGAGAAATTCACAAGTTTCACCCAAATAAAAAAATGTAAAATAGCCATAACTATAAAAATCTGATCCTTCCTGATGGAGAATAAAACAATTCGAATCTAGGTTTTACTCTCTGTTGGTCCAAGTCACTTTCAGTCCGCCTAAAAAAGTGCAGTAGCACTCGCGCAGTCGCGCTTAAACAGATTCATTACCTTCACCATCCCGGGCGCACCCAAAGAAATCATGGGGATAAACTTCCGTCACTTCCACCCGCTCCCCTCCCCCTCCTCTTTCCTCTATTTTCTCAGAAACCAAACGAATATCACAAGTTCAAATTCGACGGAGCATGATGACTATGCCAGTCCACGCATACAGGTGTATTTCAAGCAAATGAGTTTCCAGCAGTATAAAAGCAGAAACAAAACTAATCAAAACGCACCAGGCCTCGAAAAATTTCATGGGCGTGCAAAAGCATGCAAGCAGAATAGGAAAGCGAGAAAGCACACCGTCTTCATCAGGAACTTGAACGTGGAGGAAGAGAAGTTTGAAACCAGCGGTGTTTGAGCGAATGATCTTGTTGATAGTCCACTCGAAAGCTCCTCTGCTGCTAATGGAAGGGTTTGGGTACCCCTTGATAGTCGACTCGTTTACTCCGATCAAGATCCGGGTCGGCTCACTTTCCGCCATGGCTTTAGCGCACTGAGTTCACGAGCTTCCGATTTTGTTGCAGGATGTTCCCTTCCCTCCCGGCTCCCACTCCCACCTGATTTGACCCGCGATTTTTCTTCTACTTTCCGGTACATTTCGTATCCGGGGTCCGATATTACTTATCAGTTTTTTTTTTTTTTTGGGATAGAAACGTCGGGAACAATGTGTCGTCGTTATCGTTAGACCCGACTTCTCTTTATTTTTTTTTTCTTTATTTTTTTTTTACTTTTCATTTCAATCATTAAATTTATTTTTAAATAGTTAAAATTTGATATTTTATAAAATTATAATTAAAAAATTCAAATTTTAATCATTTAAAAATAAATTTAATGAGTAAGATGAAAAGTGAAGAAAAATGAAGAGAAAAGAAAACCGAGGGAAGCCAGTTCCGTTATCATTGTGCTTGTGAAATGGATTGCCGTTGGGATCCTTGCATCTCTGGCCTCAATGAAATACCAAAATTGCCATTCTAACTTTTGGGCGTAAGACAACAATAAGCAAAATAGCGGAAAAGATAAAGCGACAAAAAAAGTTTAGCGGCAATTTTTGGTTGTGCACCAATGCCATTGCGTACGGTACAAAGTCATGAAAATGCGCGTCCTGTGTTTTTCATTTTTTCTCCTTTTTCGAACTGGATTCATGAAATTATTTTTGAAATATGTAATAAATATAATAAGTAAATTAAAAAAGTAACGGAGAGTGCTATTATAAAGGCCAAATACTTGATTGAAGACTTTATTTAATTAAATTTAATTTTAAAAAGTATATAATAAAGTAAATCGTCGGTACTTTTTTTCTCTTTTGAATTTCTTTGGCTAAAGCGAGTGCTAAAAATTAATCTCTTAGGGTTTTTTTTTTTTAATTTTTACTGCTAGGGCGAGTACGGAAGATTAATCCCTTGAAGTACTAAGATCCTATTTAAAAGGCTAAGCTCTCCTAACAAATTTTTTTTAATGCACATGACTCAAGGATCGAATCGTGATAATATGTTTAGGAGACCCAAACAACCTACAATATGTTGCACACTTTCTCGCTTGTCAGAACCAAATTTTGAAAGATGATTCATCGCAAACTTAGAGGATAATTATTTACAGAACAAATCACATTAATTTATAAATTTAGTCAATCTCAATTAATAGTGTCTTTTTTATTTTTTATTTTCGGACTTCCCGCCTATTGAACTTTTATTACTAAAATTAAGTCACTTCATTTTTTAAAAGAAGATTATTTTACCTGCATCTACAGTTGCCACGTGGGAGCATTCCTGAGCAACTAGTTGCGTGTTATCATTACTATTACTTTTTTTAAAAAAAAATTTAGTACCAATAACGAACTTTCCATAAAATTTAAAACATTCAGAAACTAGTACGATTACAAATACTCGTGTATACAACGTTATTATGACCTCAAAACGCATCCCTTGACTGATAGAGATTTTTGTTTTGACCTTAACTGGTTGAGATTCAAATCTCAACTCCATCATCAAGGATCTTTCAAACGGTAATTACACTGGCACTAAAAACTTGTTATCATCAATCACTCAACAGTGGGCTGAAATCTGTTGAGAGCCCAACCCATGTAAGGGCTTTTTGGGCAGGCCATGAGGGAGGGAGTAATGGAAATTGGAAACCACGGAGGGCCAACTAAGATGGGTTATTGGGCGAGGGCGCGGCATGTTGCATCAGTTTGACATGACGCCTCCTTGACTCCACACTCACACGTGGGTCATCTGATTTTGCTTTCTCGCCACTGCCCTACCCTCTACAACCATAGCCTCTTCCAAATACGGTACAACTCTCGTGGCCATGTCTTTTCTTCTTCGTTTTCACGCTGCTACTGCTGCTGAGTGCTGACCCTTTTCCTTTCCGTCTTATCATGCACGTACCTTCCCCAATAATGCATGTGCTTATCATGTCCAGTCTTGTTTAATAACTAATTCTAATTCCACTCCAATGAATTCAAAACCTACATTTACCACAGAGCAAATTACATTTGTTGACATTTGAATAGGATCGTAATCCGGCGTGAAACATCTGCGCAGGTCAGGGAGGTCCGAGGAATGAAGACAGAGATCTCCAAATGATCGTCAAGATTAGTGGGGAGACAGAGATTGAAGAGACGATCTTGTTTTGCTCGGCGAACGAGGAATTACCTTCACCGCCGGCGATAAATTATAAATGCTACTCCTTTTATTTTTCAATTTGCATTTTTATTTTCAATGGTTCTGGGTTAACAGCTGAAACATGGTGGGTTCAATTGGAATTCCTGTGAAAGAAACCAAAATGCCCTATCTCGTACATTTCTTTCCAGACCTCCTCGGCATCAAAGGCCATTTCACTAGAAACGACTTCTAGCGCGCCCTCTTCTACCCAGCCCCTCCTCGTATTCGCTTCCCTGGGGTTCCTCTCCAACACGACGTCGTCTTCTATCCTCTTCGTTTTCTTCTTCTTCTTCTTCCCGAGACCCAGGCACCTCCTTCCCGCCATCCACGGAGCTTTCACGAAGGCCAGAGCGAAGCAGTGGAGCACCGCGCAGGGGCAGCAGCAGAGTGCCACGCAGTCGGCTATCATCCCGGCGGTGCATGTCCGGCAATACTTGCTGGAGCACTCTATCAGATCTCCGCTGTCGTCGACGGCGAACCTGCCCTTGATCCGCCTGGCCGGAGAGGGCTCCCGTGACGGTTCTTTACACGATAATCGAGGACGCTTATCTTCCATGTGATTTCCGGGAACAGTTTCGTTTGAATCCAGAGACCTGCCGCAAAATGAAAACGAAGAAATTAGCTACTTCAACTCACGACTCATACTCTGGTACAGACCCTCCCATAGTCCCATTTATACGTATTGCAGACAAGAAGAATTTGATTTTCCATGCATTTTAATCTCGGTAAAACCATTAACAGCACTGCAGTTAGTGCAGTACATTGATTCGAGAAGGCCCCAACAAAAAAAAAACAAAGAAATAAAAAAAAAACGGAATCATGTTCTTGATAGAGAGAGTTACATTCACGCGCTATACTCCCCACCTCAATGGACAGCACGAAAAGATCAGCGACGGGTTAGTGCTCTTCTTACTGATTTACCCATTGACGTTGAGTGGATTGATACTTCACAGTTAACAGCATTGTCTCTTCGGCTAAAAAAAAACAAAACAAAACAGCATTGTATCTGCCTTGACTTGACCAGCTCTTTGACCATTTCTGTTCCTAGGTGCTATAGACTTAGAATTCTTTACCAAATCCTTTGGAATTACGAGGTGAGGGAGTAAATGTTTTAAATGCTAAAGCAAATTCAGATGTAAAAATCATTAGTTGTTTTAATTAATATTTGAAAAAATTAATAAATTTGATGTTGAGATTAAATATTTTACATTATAATTTTTGGCACACTTATAATTAGTGCCATGCAATTTATATAATAAGATGAGGTTTATTGATGTCGTTGCTATAATTAAAATGCAATAATTATAATAACTTTGTATTTTGATTATATACATCCTTTGTTCATTCTATTATCATTGATCCTCAATTTTGAAGGATTATCTTTTTAAGACAATGGAAATTGATTTTCTTTAGGATTAAGGTGAAATATAGGCTTATCCTAACCAAACATGAACTCTTACACTGCTCATCGTCCGTCGAGCACGACACACTTAAGATTAGACACCGTACCCTTGACATGTATTACTGCTTTAAAAAAAATACGGTAGGTGATAATAATTCTAAGTGTATAATATTTAATGTTTCAACCATAAAGTTAGACCAAAGATACTTAAAAAAATATTAATTATAAATTATAACGTTATGGTAACCCAAGCTCTTATTATAGAAAAATACTTAGATAGATTAAATGTATTAAGTTATTTATGATCTGTCCAATTAAAATACTCTAAGTAATTTAAATAAAATATCGTGTGATATTTTATAAACTGAGTTTGTTTTTGTAACAGAATACACATTTAATTTTTTGCCTTTTTGCTCTTTATTATCATTAATATCATAATCAATTTATATTTAATATCATCTAAATGTCATATTTTTATTGGATAGACCATAAACGACATAATACAACCGATCTATCTAAGTATTTTTCTTTATTATATTGCCTATTTTGCAAAAATTAACTGTCCCAAACAGAACTATCAATTATAAAAAATAATGATAGTTTTTAAGTAATCATGAATAAACACGTAACGTTTTTGAAATCATGATATCAATACTGATACCGTGAATATGACTTTACAGCTGCTTATATTTCACACCGTTCACGTGCTTAGTGGGTAAACCCATGACTGTGGAAGTTGACCTAAAACTCATTGTGCATAGAAACAAGGAAATGTAATTAACTGAAGGGACAAGACATCAATGCCCTGCGAGTACAAGGGCGATGCGAAAGAAGGGAGAGGGGTATGATGGTAAGAACGAAGATGTAGTGAAGAATCAGGTATGAGTGACCCAGAGAGGTAACGTGTTATCGCCTCAAAATGAAAAGAGCTTGGAAATGGCAAGTGAGGACGACGAGACACAGAGAGAATAGAGCCAAAGCTTTTGTGAAAATGATCGAGTTTCATTTCAAGCTGTGATTTGGCAAAACAGAATGGTCACTTGACATCTTGTACCCAGTGTAGTGCTCTGTCCCTGTACTGGCCGGGCTCTTGTTATTTAGCATTCCTTTCGAGTTCATCCTCTCATGGCTACTGTTGCTACTTCAAACTTTGTTATGGATAACTTCCACTATTTGTGACATGATCGAATTCCCCAAAAACTAAAGGCAAAGACTTTTTTAATATGGGAATCTGAAGGGTTGAGAGAGAGTCTGCTTGCACGATTAGAAAAATTGTAAGTTCATAATTTTAAGGGTGGTTTTTCTAAACATGACAGAGCCTGTAATTGGCAAAACGACACTGGACTCACGTGGGATTATTTTATATGCGAGAAACATAGAGGAAATCAACAGTGGTAGCTGGTCCAACATGATTAAAAAACTAGTAAATAACTGTCACCAAAGCATCTACCTCAGACCAACATGTGGTTGTGTGAACTTCACGTATTCTAGATTAAAATCATTAATCCTACAAGATCTGCTTTGACCAAAGCCAATTAGCACCGGTACCCTCCTATGAATAAAAAAATAAAAGAATCAAGTAACTCAATCACCACTCCACAAGGCATCTCAGCATACTAACATGGCATTCATTTGAAGGGGAAAAGAAATCAAGAGAACCATAGCTCAAAATAGGGATGTCTACGAGATAAGACCAAAACACTCATGTCATATGTCTCATCCTGAAAAATATAGAGACTGATTTTTTTGTCCCATATGGTGTACTGTTTCAAAAGTTGTCGAAGAAATAAAAATAAAATTGAGACGCCGATAGATTAGATGATGTGAGAGCAAGTTCTAGATAATTAACAACAACAATTTTTATCAAACTAAATAAAATTGGCTACATGAATTATATAATGACAGTGTGCTCTATTAGTTATTAAATTTTTAAAAATATTATTAATTAATAGATCTGAATAATAACATTCATTAAAATTTTAAATTAAATAATTTATTAAGTTCAAAATCAAAACATGAGTACATAAATTACAAAAATTTAAAGTCAATTATTGAATTACATCAATCACAACTACAAATGCATAATATATTATGATAACAATTATAAGTGATCTTTAAGTTATAAAAGCAACAATAACATACAAGTCAGGCACAACATCAAATCATTATTCTTCTTCTTTAGTTAAGATATGCTAAACTAATTACTCTTTTAAAAACAAAGTAAGAAATACGATAAAAATAAAAGTTATTAAATAGATATGCATAAGAATAAATTTTATTAATATAATTAATATATTATGAAGAAAGATATTATCCTATACTGCTTACTCTATGTCATTAAAATTATTAATATAAAAAACTATTAATTTTAAATAAAAATTACATGTATTGAAACTATAATTGATATAATTAATATAAATATAAATTATATTAATATAATTAATTCATTTAATTTATTTAATTTTTAAATAAAAAGATAATATATATATATATAATATTAGGGACGAGACAAGATATCTCGAAAGCAATTTCATGTCTCATCCCAAACTCTTTTTTATCTTGTCCCGTTTTATAAAATCCTATTTCAATTATTTTCGAGTCGGGACGAGACCCTTCCTGATGTGCTCGGGACAAAATTGAATCGGATATAAGTTGAACATTATTAATTCGACAATCTTCGTTGAATTAAGTTTTAAAAATATATATAAACCAACGAGCTCATTCTCCAGGAAATGCACCAGTAAAAAGGCAAAAGAAGACAAGAAAAGGAGGAGAATATGGATCTACTCATCTGCCAAAGTTCCTAAATAATTTGGCACTAGTACTGCCTAACTGGGGTTAAATTTCCCATCTCACAATATTTCCAAAGGCACATTTAATTCTCAGCCATAGATGGCAGAGTTGCTACACTGACTTTTCCCCACCTTTAGTACCCAAGGCATGCATGTAAGAAGAAAGAGCTGGCCGTGTTTCCCCAAAAGCACATAATTGAGTCTGAGAATAATGGCATTGGCATTATGGTGGCACTATCCTCGCATCCTATGGCACTATTTGCATGCAGTGGGATCTGCATCAACCACTAACACCTACCCTCGTGGCCTGCCTTAAAGGACATGGTTTCTTACTGTGCTCTCTCACACATGGCATAATCCCTGTCCTATTCAAGGTAAGCCACATTATTTGCCCGATCACTCGTCAAGAACAAGCATGTAAAAGTGTTTTGAGGTGCCAAAACATGTCTTGTACCTTCCCTAAATTTAGCACTATCTAGATCCATCATTTCCGCTAATTGTCTTTGTGCCTTGTTTGCTTTGAACTAGCATGCACGAAGCGTGTATTATTGCGAGTTAAACCTGCTTCACATCCTATTAATTTACCGAACTATCAAATCCAAATGCTGAGATAACTATGGGCTTATTTCTTAAGGTTTAAAGTCATGGATCTCTGCATCGGCATTTTTCTGCAGAGAATGCAGGAAATTGTAGGGGCGTAGATCCAAATCTTAATGCGGGATTTGGAAGAAACAGATTCCAAATAGTGCGAACCAAGGACCTAATAAATTTGTGCTTCATTGAAGCTCAGAGCCTGACACGAATGAAATGCAGGACATGCATCATTGACTAAAAAACTTGAGTATGAGAACCCAGAAGAGTTTAAGAGAATTACCTCGGAGAAAGAAGAAGAGGGTGTGTAGATGGAGGAATTCAGAGCAAGACCGCAGTGTTGGTTCTGAGAGTAATCGCTTAGTATTTGTGGGACTGCAAGTGCAAGCACAAACTCGATCTGATGAAGAACACCCATCTGAAATAACCCCGAGATTATTTAGTATTCCCTTCCCCCCGGGAAGAATCTCTCTCTCTCTCTCTTTCCGCTTCTTGTAAACTATTTTATGGTAATCCATAAAGGTGTGTTAATGGTAAATTAATAGCCGGCCCCCTTTTTTTGATATTTAATCAAAGCTCAGAGAACGCGAAGATGTGTCCGTTGACGAGTCCCGATGAGAGGGAACATGGGGAAATGTTGCTATTCTCCATGGCTCTTTTTCCACTCCCTCTGAACATGTTTGATTTCTTTTCTTGCAACCTGAGCAACCAGGCACGTGAGAGGCAGTGTGCACGTGCAGCCACCCCTGTGCTTTCATTTCTTTTCACAGGGTACCGCCACTACCAGAGGCCAGGAATCAAGTTGCAGGTCTAAAATTATCACTGTACTGTACTGTGTTAATCGCCTCTCTTACATGGAGAGCTTCGATCTTTTGGTTTGTTATGCCGATTGAACTGATTTATGCCATAATTTATACGCATGCGCTTTGCTCTTATTAGTTGACAGATCATATGGAGTGGGTTCAGGATTTCGGTTCATGGATCGGACAAGAGGACGAAGATTAGAATCAGATTAGGATAAGGGGTGTGATTTGTTTTGTTCAGTAGAGAGATTCGGGTAATTGGAAAGTGGAAGTTCCAAGGCTTTTTCATGATTAACGTCACAGGTTTAATTTAATCAGACTTTCGGCAGGGAAAAAAAGGTTGGTTCTTGCCTTCTTGGTTGGCCGTTTTGTAGCGCATGACACAGAAGGGCGACCAGCAACCCTTGACTCAGATTCATATATTAATTACACGTTTTCGTTAAAACAAGTGGATTTGGAAAGGAAAAACAGTATTTTTAACTAGTGCATTTTGCTCGATTTTGATATATATTCTTTGTTTAAGTCTCTATATTTTTTTATTTATAATATTAATTCTTATATTTTTAAAAAGATGTTAACGTGATATAAATAGTATTAATAATATTAATATGTTAATTAATATCGTTAATTTTGTGCTCACATACAAACTAATATTAACAGGAATTTTTAATAAGCAATTTTTAAAAAAAAAAAGTTACATGAAATTTGTATTTTTTACTGATAATTTAAAAAGTTCAAGTAAACCTTTTTATTTCATCTAATATAAGCTTTTTTTATTTTTGCTTATTAAATAATTTTATATTAGCATCACTTTAACATATAAATACAAAATTAATGATATTATTTGATATGTCATTATTATTAACACTGTCTACATCACATTAACGTTCTTTTAAAAATATAGTGACCAATATTATAGATAAAAGAAAGTAAAAAAATTTATATTAAAATCCAAACAAAATATGAGGATTAAAAATAGTGTTCTTTTATTTGTAAATTTTAACAAATACTTGAGGGGACGATGTCATTTCTCCATAATGGTTCATAAAATTTATAAAAGTTTGAAGTCCAAGGTGATAGATTTTGCGTCTAACATTTACGCAATTTTATTTGGATCTTGACAAAGTTAATATTGTTGGTTGTGAGGGTGTTCAATTTATACTTATCTCTCATCTCTATCCTCCCCGCTCTCTCTCTCTCTCTTTTTCCAAGCTGACACGTGGATCATATATTAATTACACATAAAATATTATTCTCGGATGTGGATCATGCATCGTGCCAATGGTAAAGTAGATGGGAAGTGGACTTATCATATCCATTCATTTCGTCTAATGGTTGGGAAGAAAGAGGTACATGGAAAGCTTTGTTATTTGCAAAACACTTAAAACTTTTTCTATAATAAAAAATTACTTCACAATTTTAATTCTAAAAAGTTATTAAAAAATTAAATTTATTATATTTTAAATGTTCAGAAGTTCCTATTCTACCTAATGAAATTGAAAATCATTCCTCTACACGCACCTCTTCCTTAATGTCTCGTATATATTTACTTTTAAATTTTATTAATAATATTGACTATTTTCCTAACATAAAAACCTTACTTCTCAATTTAAACATTAAAAAATTATAAAAAAAATAAAAAAATATTTTGTAAGGATCGTACCTATACTACCTAATGAATTTTTTAACAACAAAAAACTTACTTTATTATTTAAATCTTAAAAAATTATGAAAAATTTTAAAAAGGTAGAATGGGAACGAACTTTTAAGAATATTTAAAATATACATTATGAAATAATTTTTCATTATAGAAAAGGTTTGAGTATTTTGCAGATAACAAAGCTTTCTAGTTACACCTTTCTTCCCAACTATTAGATAAAAATAATAGATATAATGAGCCCACTTTCCATCTATTTAACCATTGGCACTGCACATAATCCACGTCCTATTATTCCCAACATCATCATTAATTTCCTTGTCAATCTCTTCTAACATTAATATCGTTGGACAGGCGAGAGGATAGAGGGGGGAGGGAGAGGGATAGTAAAAAAACAAAGAGCAGGGGAGAGATAGTTGGATGAGTCAAGAGAGGGGAGAAGGAGGAATTGGTGAGGAGAGAAAGTGTGGATGATAAAATGATTTAGAATTGTAAAAATAGGAGAAAAAATGTGGGACCCATTTTTCACAATATTTCATTATAAAAAATTAAAAAAGGCCTATTCAACAAATCATGGGCCCACAAATAATTTTTTAACATTAAGGTGATGAAATATTAAATTCTTAATGTTAAGAGATATAATTGACTTTTAATTAAATTCAAGATGCCTAGTGACTCTTCAAGCAAAAATAGCCTTTAAACCTTGTATTTTTATCCAAAATGCCTTTTATAATTTTTCCCTAAATATTAATAATAGAGTCATGGAGAATTTGCAATAATTATTGTGATGTAATTGTTGCAATGCAAGCATTTAAAAACAAATTTGAATTTGAAAAGCAAATTATGTATCCTATACTCTATTGATTGGGATTTAATTTAGGGTGTAAATCTATGTAGTTATGAAATTTGAGGTATGAATTCATTTGTAATTCAAACTCCAATAAACTGCTAGATCTGACTTTTATAATTCTCAATACATGGAGACATTTTTATCATACAACCTGATGATTTAGCAGTCCCTCTTGGAATTTGTAAATGTGACAAGTTTTACCCCTTTTTTTAATGATTGTGTTGGTGCCACAAATGGAATACATGTATGTGTGAAAGTATTAGTTAAAGATGCACCTCGATATCGTAGTAGGAAAGAATTCTTGACACAATATGTTTCAGCAACATGCACATTTTTTTTTAAATTCACATATGTGCTCATTGGATAGGAAGGCACCACATCTGACTCTAGGATTGTGAAAGATGTATTGACACGAGAAAACAAGCTCAAAATACCTGAAGGTAAATACTACCTTGTAGATGTTGATTTTATGCTAACAAGTGAATTCATTATACCTTATAGAGGAGTTTATTATCGTTTGAAAGAATGTTCAAAAATAAATCCACCTCAAAATTATAAGGAGTTGTTCAATTTGTGCCATGCTTCATTACGTAATGCAATTAAAATAGCTCTTGGTGTTTTGAAAAAAAAATTTAAAATTTTAGCCAATTTAGGAAAGCCTAATTATGGGGTGAAAGCTCATACAACTATCATTAGGGTATGGTGCATTCTTCATAACTACTCGATGGACGTAGACCCCAATGAAAATATCATAAGACAAGTAAGTGCTAAACTTGTAACTCAATTTGAGCCTAACTCAAATAATCGTGATCAACGTAGCACCAATAAAGAGGCCATTCTGGAAGAGCTTATTAAAGATACTATAACAAATAAAATGTGGATAGATTATCAAATTAATAACAATCATTTGGGTTGAACTTTAATGCTTTTACTTCAATAACCATTTCAATTGTTTCATGTATTGTTATTTGAATATATTATTATTTAATGCATTATAATTAGTTTGAACCATGATATTTTATTTAATGTTTTCTAATTATTTATCATGTAATGTATGCTCACATTTAACTATTTATGAACCTTCTAGCATGCCTCCAAAAGAAAATAACAATAAGCAATACTTGAATTGGACACGAGTGATGGATGATGCATTTGTTGATACTTTTTTATATCAACATGATATTAGCAATAAAGTAAATGGAACATTCACCACTGCTGCATATGATTTCATTGTGAAAGAGTTAATTGCTAAATTTAACATTCCTTTTGATAAAGAGAGGATAAAGAATCGATGGAAAACTTTAAAGAGAAATTTATCTAAAATTTATGAGATTTTTAAAGGCAGATTAAGTGCCCATCAACACATTTATGGGGTGCAGAATATCAAGTTTGGGTGCACTTATTGAGGTTAGTTCATCTAATGTTTTATGTGAAGATATTTAAAAAAAAAACTCAAATTTATGTAAATCTACCTCATTTTCTCCTACTTAATAGTGAATTTTGTTTGAAACTTATCATTTTAGTTGGAGACATACTCTTTTTTCCAACTATGAAAAGACGATCATTTTGTGTGGAAATGATAAAGCAATGAGGGAAGGATCTTAAACTACTAATGATATGTGAAAACATTGCCACCAAATCAATGAAGACAACTTAAATGAAACAATAGGTAACATGAAAAATATTGCTACCAAAAAAGAGGTGGTAACAGATTATGTCGAAGCTCTTGATAATAATGTTGATCAAAATAACTCATTTGGAGCTACTAGTAGTTCTAGTAAAAAGAAGCAAAGGATGGGTTCCAAAAACGATAAAGACTCTAACTTAGCTAATATTAAAGGGGTCATGATAGATGTTGTGGAAGCTATTAGAGAAGGAAATCAAGTAGTGAAAAAAAACTTTAAAAAGCTCCCACAATTGTCTAGAGAAGAAATTTGGAATATGGTTAAGGATTGTGGCTTTTTATCAATCAATATTACTAAAATTTATAGAGTTCTCATGGGTGATGTTGACCAACTAAAAACATTTGTAGAATGCTCCATTAATGCACGCAAGGAATTGTTATTAGAGATCATTAAAGACATTTGAATGTCCCTTTATTTCATTTCAAGCACCTTTTCTATTATTATATGGCACTATAAAGAACATTGTTATGCTTAACATGTGATTTTGATATCTTGAATATTTTTTATATCTTATGGAATTACTTATAGGAGAATATTGTAATGACTTTTGTTAGTATGTAATTTTGATATTTTTTATATTTTATAAAATTAACTATATACTTTATATGTTATCAAATTTTGCCTTAGCATGTTCCATAATTACAATGTCCTAGACTATAATGTTTTTTTTTTAAATTATGTTAATGTAATCAAGTGTTCTTTTAAAATTTATTTATTTGAAAAAAATGCTATATTTGGGCCACGATCTTCACCATGGCTCTAGGAACGTATTTTATAAAAATTTAAAAACTAAAAAGTGTACTTAAATAGCATATATATAAGTAAAGGTATATTTGACAATTAATAATCACCTTCCCTTCCCTCCAAAATCAAATAAAAATTATTAAAATACCTCCCCTCCTTTTCAACTAAATAAAAATTTTTAAATCATATCTCCTCTCCTTCCCTCACCTAACCTCCCCTTCCCCCCTCTCCCTTCTTTTTCTTTGAATCAAACACTTAACTTAAGGGCCCTGGTGCAGTTTGACATTTTGGAATTTAATTCCCCCCCTCGTTGATTTTCGTCGCATTTGGGCTAAAATAATCAAGTATGACCTAGAAGGTGGAATTGTGGTCAGTTTTTTGGTTTTTGGTAGAATCATTGCCATTTCTAGTGTTCACCGTCACCAACTAGGGAGGTACACGGACCAGGCCCAGTAACCACGCACGAAAAAGCCCATCGGTAAATGTTATAGGTTGCCTCACGGCGCCCTCAAAACCCTAATACAAATTCATCCCCGAGCACCCGCCTCTATAGGGCGATCGCGATCGCTTCTCAAACCCTAGCACGGTTAGCCTATTTAAAGGTTTGATTCTTTGATTTATTTCTCGTTCTCTCTCCAAATTCCTCCCCTTGCCTCAAATCGCTGGTATACCCCTTCGATTCCCCTCGATCTAAATTGGTTCTGTATTGTTTTGTGACTTATTCTGAAGCGGGCGAAGATGAACATTGCTTAATTCTGACACCTCTTGTATGAGTTGAGTCTTTTTCAGAATAAAAGACTCTTCTTTGAGCACCGATAGCAACTCTCTGAGCCTTATTTATATCCGTCCTTCCGCCATCGTGTTTCTCTGTTTTTATCTAATTCCTTTCTCAAATAACAGGACTTCGCCTAATATTGCAATTCTTTGGCCATGCTTTGGGACCGAGGAATCTATCGTTAGGCTATATTGAATTTATTTTGCGCATGTATATGATTATATATATGTTGGCTGCCTTAAGCTCCGAGAACCTTTTTTCTTCTCAATAGGGTTTTTCGGTGACAAGGTAGACACAATCTTTTCTGTTCAATTGTTGAATAAGTTGTCATACACAGTCCCTTAATTTGAATATAAGTTATCGCATTGGTTGATGACGTGTTCAAGACTCAGAAAAAAGTGTGATGGATTGTCGTTGATTTTCTTGGCACATGATGTTTCAACTAGGTTTAGGGCTTTTCTATGTTTGGGCACAAACAATTTTATATGTTGTCTTTGTTCACGCATTTTCCAATACTTTGAATTTTTTCTTTCACGTTTTTATATTCCTCATGGACACGGTATCATATGGTGTTGAATGATGAAAAAAATCAGACGGATTCCCATTGATATTGTTAATACATGATATCGCAACCAGCTACTTCTGACAGCATCATATGCATATTTTTTTTTTGGGGTCAAACATCATATGCTTATTCATTCGCCTTGTTTTCTTTGTTTCAATATCTCTCTGGTATTTTATGCGCCTTTTGGATTAGTGACTTGTTCGGCCGATGATGTTAGAAAATATTTGCTACTCTTGATGGGCCGCAACCATCTGATGATTCTTTTCCACCAAGATCTCTGAGGCCTCGTCTATGCTTTTATATCCTGTTTTGATTTAGTACAGACGTTTTTAAACATGCGTGCTTAGATTTGCAGGCTTCATGGGCAATGGAGATGTATATTATCAGTTCTGAGTTGTTGACCTCTTCCGAACTGACGAGTTTAAAGAAAATGATTCTTTATTGGTTGTCTATGTATAATTGTCATGGAATACAGTTTTTACAAAATTATATCTTAAATGAACATTGATCTCTGGAGTTTAGATTTTACCCCCTCAATGCAATATGGTAGGTTGGCGGATTGCTTAGCCCAAATTAGGTGTTCAGATTGATTTGCAGGAATCATAACTCCATAATGCTGTGTTATTGTTTAATATTCTTTCTGTTTTAAATTATAATATATTTTTAAATGAATTTTTACATATTAATAAAGTTCATTGAATATACTTTATAACTTTATTTTTTTAAAATAGAAATATAAACTTTTAAAAATGTTCTTTGTTTAATACTCTAGTGATGAAATAATATTAAAGGAGTAGAATATATGAAAAAAGTAATATTAAAAATTATTATTAATGAAATTTTATTTTTATTAAAGTGTTTTATATTTTGAAATGTTTAATTTTTTTAAAAGTATTTTATAATTTGTGAGGATGGATAGAGTATTTTTTATGAAAACTCCTGAATTCACCTAGGCGACCTGGATCCTGGGCCTCCACTGGCGCCGAGTGTAGTCAAGTTGCAGCAGCATGTTTGGTCATCGGTGGCTTCCCTGTTTTTAAGGCAGTTTAGTAGGGAAGTATGCTTGAAGCTGGTTATAAAGAGAGGTGAGAATTGAGAAAAATCAATGGACATATTCACTCTTAATGTTCATTTCAATACATCTAACGCATCAACTAGAGTTGGAATGATGCGTTTCAAATTAGCAAGACGCCATAATAATAATGGAGGCAAGAAGTTAAGTCGTCAAAATAAGTTGTATCTGAGGTTTAATTTTGACCCCACAATTTCTTGATTGAATGGCCGTAAACAGCGCGCGATGTTAGCTGATATGGCGCGTTTTTGCAGGTCGAAAAAAAAGATGGCGTGTTCATTCTCATTTGGGAAAAAAGTCTCAAGTGCCATTGTGATTGAACCTGCTTGAATAGATTTCATGCCGAATCTTTAAATTGACGTAAAGTGAATTGATTCTCTGATGCAGAATTATAGCGATGTGAATTGATTCCTTCTAAGAAACATCCCTAGGTGTTGCTCATGTTGTTGAATCAGTTATGTCTCACCTAAGGGGATCAAATAGGCCAAAAGAAAAGGTGAGATCATAAAGCAAAATTGAATGACTACCATGAATTATAAATAAATTAAATATTACACCCGAGGAACACGAGCAGCAAGGCTCATCCAGGACTCCCCCCGTTTTCTACAGAGGCGTGACGAACAAATAAAACAGGGGTGACAGAGTATCATTATCATCTAATACTGGCTGTAGCACGTGAGTGGCCTAGACATGAGCCTGCAGAGTTTCTGATTTGAGAGGGCAATCCTGTAGGGGTGAGCGGGCGTTTGATTGCCGCATATCTTGTCGACTGGCATGCCAGTCTGCTTGGCTAGCTTCTCTGCCTCACGTGGGCTATCAATCACTCTGTCAAAGCAAACGTATCTGCCGGACGCGGTCCCGTCCATTGCCTTGTAAACGCACACATGAGCTTCCGCTACTTTGACCACGTCCACAGTAGCCAGCAATCCATGGGAATACATTTCTTGGGCTCCTGCAGCATTGGGGAATTGTGAAGAATCAGCTTCTATTAATGTAATCAAGAGAAGTGCACGAACAACAGAGGGTGTGGTCAGTGGAGGTACCTTTGAGATAAGCAATTGTTGCGGTTGGATTTCTGCGGCAAAATTCAGGGCCCGTGATGAGTGCGGGGCAGATGGTAGCGAGCTGCAAACCCTGTTCTGCAGCTATTTTCCAAGCCCTCTTCTCCGCCCTGGTCTTCCCCAATGCATACCACAGCTGCCACATTTGCAGACACCAAGAAGCATTAGCTTAGCTACAACAAAAATGCAACGGCAACGGAGGATGTTGTCGTTGTATTACCTTGCTGTCAATGCAGAGGGATTCAGAGCTCCAGGAGGCGTGGTTAATGACAGAGGGGACGTCAGGTCGGGCATTGTCTTGCCATAAACACGCGGATAGCGACGATGTGAAGACGCATTTCTTCACGGAAGGTGTTGTAGCGCATGCTTCCATCACATTCTGAGTCGCTCTAACTTCGATCTCTGCCATGGATTTCTGCACATCTCACGCATGCAACTGATCAGCATATTATATTGAACCATGGACATGCCATCAAGCATTGAAGGGACGGAGCATGACGTTTACTCTAGTGGCATGTGGTTTGGTAGGCATTATGGGTGAAGATGGTTTTGCCACCTCGCCCAAGAAATAGCCAAGCTTTGCGTGTCACTCTCTCTAGGATAAAACTAATCCAATTAACACAAATGGTATTTGATTTTCGTAACACGTAAAAGATATTTGGCTTTACAAAATTTACCCCTTACTAAAATCAATGACTACCGTAAATCATATTTATAAATTATAACATAAGTATGTCACAAGGTAAAAGCATGGATAATTAACGAGAAAACATGGGAAACAAGAGAATGATTGGTGGTAAAATAAAAAAAAAGAATATTGAACTAGTCATAGTGAGGAAGAGGGAGAGAGAGAATTACAGTGTAGCCAGAGAGGCCGGCAGGATCGGTAAATGCGGAGGTGTGAAAAACGCCACGACAGCCGTCAAAAGCAGTGCGAAGGCTCTGCACATCGGTGAGGTTGGCCATCACCACTTGCAAGTTGTCTCCTCTCGTCCTCTCCATCTCCCTCAATTTCTCCATGTCATCTGCACCCATTCATTTCATTTACCAAACAAACAAACAAAAAGGAAACAATAAATTTCATACTTTTTCCCTTTCACTTCCATTATTCTTTCCTGTCTTTATCTCCGCCGCTTCTTTATTTTTTATCTTTTTATATAGGAGGTAGTCGACAAGTCTTATCGGACGCCTTAATTTAATAAGGGCCACGCACTTCACTGATCACAACAATAACTACGCACAATGACAAGTACAGCCACTTTGTTTCGGAGACGTAGCCACTTCCTCCTCTTTCAAATTTGTACACCCCAATCTTTGAAGCATTCAATTCAAACTTGATCCATTTATATATTTCATAAATGATAAAATAGCCATCAACCGCGATGCTGACTTCCTCCTATTTTTCTTTGATATTTAAGTCGTTTCTTTCTTTTTAAATATCAAAGAATTTCAACACCTCATCCGATTTAAGAAAATCAATTGACCATGATAATTACATAAATGTTTGGACTAGAATACTTTTATAATTAATGTTTACTTTTTCCCTCTAATCTAACGATGCTATCTGTCTATGAGGCACAATTTATAAAAATGTAATTAATTTTTCCTGAAATTTATATTTTTACTTGTAATTAAAAAAATATGTACAGGTAGTATGATGATTATCGGATGACCTCTAACCTAACCACGGTGTTAGGAAACACTTTTCCCTGGAAGATGAAACGAGAAGAACAAAACTAATGAGCGAAACCCACAAAAAAAAAAAAAAAAAAGGCTCGGATCCTGTGGCAGCCTAGAACGCATAATTTTCAAGTGTTGCCGTGCAGATTCTTCCAATCTCCGAGTTTGCTGCAGCTACCCAACCCCGTATGCATTATTCAGAACTTTCTACAAAAACCGGTAATAAACCCCACATGTTTCGGCACTCAAACATTAGCATCCACGCTGCTGACACCTCCTCTGCGTGTTTTCTTAATCCAGTTCACAAATAATTTTAAGGCAACTTGTACCTTCTAATTTTCAATTTCCTAATTTTCTTCAGAAACTAGGACGGCCGGATGAACCAACCGAGAAAGATTATAAAACTTGACATGCTGAAAAATGTGCCGCCATCAAGTTTGATGAGGAATTAAGTGTTGACATTTTTGGGTTCCTTTTTCTTTTCCCAATTCCCATACCTGCCCCGACCAAGTCACATTCATTTGGCTCCGTGATTTCAAGATCTCCGGTTTCAACCATATTTGACATCAACAAACACCTAACCTAACAGCCCAACTTACATGTTTGTACATTTCGTTGCCTATTCTTTTCACGGACAAACTCCCGGTAAAATTTATTTCAGATTCCAATTCCTTTTGTTCAGTACCATCAAGATACCAGTCAGTCTCAGTTACACTTGAACATGATGAGTTTAAAACGAACCCCAGAAGAAGAAAAACCTCCAGAGAAAGAGAGTGATTTCGACATTAAGAAATTTATGACCGGAAATCTGATTAATGTCAGGAGGGAATTCAATTGAAGAAAAAGATGAGTGAATAAATTACCTGAGTTATGCACAGTGATGCGAACAGAGTATCCCTGAAGCAGGAGCTGGTTGGCTAGAGCCATACCCAAATAGGAAACGCCGCTTGTGACACAAACCATGGTTCCTTCATCCCCGCCGTCAGCTTCCAGAGGAAGAGCGCTTTTGGGTAATCCCTCGTCGTCCTTCCTCCGGTGTAAGGCGGCGCACGCCACCACGGTGCGGCGGAACTCCTCCACCTCGGCCTCCCAGCTCTCCACCGTCGGTAACAGACCCATTTGCGAGCGACGGCTGATCAATGATCAAGGACGAGATCAGAATCTTGGGGAGGGAATTGGATATGAGGTTGGGGAAGAATCGAGTTTAGGTTCAGAGCAAGAGGAAGAAGATGAGAGGCAGATGGGTATATATAATACGGCAGGCACAGTTTCTGAGGATTGCTGAGTGTTATATAGATGGACTCGCCCCAATGTGCCCAGTCAGCGTTTGATGGTCAAAGTACTCGCCTGACTGTGGAAGTGGAACCATAAAACGATGCGTACCCACACATTGTGTATACATTATATTATCATATATGCAAACTCTGCAAATAATGCCCCTTAGATAAGGTATTGGGAAGGGAACCCGAAGTGAAGCAAGGAAATTACTATTACTTTGACTAGTTAAAAAAGGCCCCATGGCCTTCAAGCTCTGTGGCATGTAAGTGGAAGATGGTTCAATCCAGCTTGCAAATCTCAGGCTGTTAATACTTTTTTCCTCTAATTCAAATAATAATAATAATAATAAATAATAATAATTTTTTAAATATAATAAATAATAATTTGATTTTGAAATAAATAATTCATAAGTTTCATTTAAATATTTACAACTTTTCTTTTTGTATTTACAATAATGCAACGGTAATAAAAAAATTAACAATTTATTTCCAACAAAGATAATTTGATAATTTAGATAAATTTATTAATGACAAAAAAGTTTATAGGGACTTTTGAAAATTTTGACATTTTAAAAAATTAAATTGTCATTTATATATTTCAAAAAATTTTATTATCATTTTAAAAAAAATTATAAAAATACAAGATAATGGAAACATTTACTATACCAAGTTTACTTATTCTGTTGGAATCTTATAAGCATCAGTACTGATTTTTATTTGTTAAAATTCAGTTGTGACATAAACTACTATAATGAATAATTCTGAGGCAAGTGTACGACCCAGCTACACAAAAATTATAATAAAAGATTAAAAAAGTTATAACAATAACTCAGAAATTACACAAAAAATAAAAAATTTAGTTGTTTCTGTAATTTTTGAACTCATTTTCTGATTAATTAATAGTTAAAGTTAACTTTATTAATAGTAAAGGTTAAATTATATTATTTTTAAAAAATGATAAAATAATTTACATAATAAATGAGTTCAGAATTTATAATAGTAATAGATAAATTATATTGTTTTTAAAAAGTGAAAAAATAATTTATAAAATAAATAAATTTAAAATTTATAGTGATATTAAATTTAAAGTTCGAGAATAATTTGTTCTTTTACTCTCTAATCGGTTGGTTAAAAAAAGTTACTGGTGTGTGGGTATGGGTATGTGTGTTCAGGCAAGTTAATGTTACTTGATACCTATATAAATTTCTCTTCTCAATATGCAAATTTTTATTTTTAAATATTACTGATGAAGTCATTATCTTTAGAAAAGATATATATACACACACACACATTCCCTCCATTCAAAAATATAAAGCACTTTTTAAAGGGTTAGATGTTCAAAAATATAAATTATTTTTAATCTTTTGAAGTATAATTATTGTCTTTTTTTCAACAATGCCCCTATTGATAGTGACTTTGTATTTATTATAGGGTGTTTAATAAAGATAAATATAACAAATAAAGTTAGATTAAAAGTAAGTAACTATTTTATTAAGAATGAGATTCGGTTAGAAATTCTTTACATTTTTAAATAGAGAGAGTATTATTTTTTTCTTTTTACCTGTAGTTTCAATTACTAATATACTTTATAATAAGTGATAGATAAATTTATGCAATGAACTAAATAATAAATATAAAGGTTAAAATAAAAAAATTACACATGCAAACCTATTTATATTTGAATCAAAGTTATTAAGAGAAAATGCTTATTTTTTGAATAAGAGGAAGTACTTTATCAATAACTGTCAATATCAATGCTAATATACAATATATAATTTGTAGAAATTACAAACAAGTCTTATTTAACCTTAATAGTTCTTGCATCAAGTAGGAGGCCCCTTTTATAGACCCCTGTAATGCAAATCACAATATAACTAAACACAATATTGTAAAGTCTCCATACCTCAATTGACCCACCTCTCTTAATATCCATGTAGGTGTTTTTTTTTTTTTTATCGACAAAAATTTAGGTAAATCTGGATTTCGAAAATTCACAAAATTTGGGACATGGCTCGAGAGTTTTTGTCCTTTTCTCTTTCTTTGTTTCTTTGATCTCACCTGTGTTTTTTCTGTATGCCCTGATTCATTTTCCAGTTTTTTGCCTTTAACTTTTTATCTTGCGGCTCCTCTGCATTTTAAGCACGGATTTCCGTTGGTTAGAAAAATAAACTTTCACCATCAGTAATTAATATCTCTATCAATATAAAAAATAAAATTTATAGGAAGTGACTTTATAAATAGCTAAAATCATTACTGTGCCAAAAAGGGGTTTTAGAATATTTTTATATCTTAATTATTTATTCAGAAATACCAGCTATTATAAACTTACATACAATATAACTTTACTCTTCAATATTTAAAATAGTGCACTGGCTCCTTGCCTTTAAAAAAACTAAGTTTAATCAGTAATTAACCAAAAAATGACAAAAATAAATTTAAAAATATAAAAAAGATTCATAAAATTGTAAATAAGTATCCTATAAAAAATCAATATTAATTAAATTCTAAAATATAGTTGGTCAAAATCATACTTTACTTTTTTCACACAGATAAGAAATATATATATATATATATATAACTTAAAGGACTTATTTATATTAATTTTTTAAAGGATATTTATGTGTAATTTGATGGCCCAATTCTTATAATTTTTAAGATTCTTTTTTATAATTTTTTGATTAACTAATAATTAAAATTATTTTTTTTGACAATATGACATGCAGTGTACTATTTTTAAATATTGAAAAGTAAAATATACCATAATTAAATTTAAGATATCAGGTGTTGTTGAATAGGATAGTCGTTTAATTTAAAACAGGGAGACTTGCTTAATTCCCAAACATTTTATAATAGGTATAATGTAAAAAGAATCGATCCACCTAATGAAAATAAAAAATTCTTGTCAGAAATAAGAGCAGGAGTTGACCTCTAACATGATTGATATCCGCGTCATTTGTGTTGGTATTAATGCTAAGTTACAGGCTCATTCGCGAGGGGAAAAACACGTTCACCCAGATATAGGGAACATCAGCATGCCCCTCCTCAATAATGACACACACAAATCAGGGAAAAAAAAAAAACGTTCACCCACAACATATAATGTGTGTTTAGATTAAAAATTTTAAAATTAAGGCTAAAATCAACTGAAGTTGAAAAAAATGTTTGTGATTTTAATGTAATTTATATTTAGATATTTTTTTTAAAAGTCAGTTAAATAAATTAAAATTTATTTAAATCATTTAATTTAAAAACTAGTTGAGATATATAATGAAAAAAATAGACATTAATTTTTTTATATATATTTTTGTAATTAATATGATATTTTCAGGAAAGAATATTAAACTTACAATTAAATTTTTCAGAAAGGTAAAATTAAATTATACAATTTTAATTTAGTCAGAACGTCAAAGTGTTCATTTGATTATAAAAATAATTAATTAAATGATAAATTTTAATAATAATTAATTATATTATAATAAAATTTATTTAGATATTTTTTTTAAAATTAATTTTAACAGAATTAAAGATATTTAAATAATTTATTTAGAATTAATTTTAGTTGTGCAAATTATTATAAAAAATATTATCTTTTAAAATTAAATTATTGATAAATTTGTATCTAATATTTAAAAACTAATATATATTATATAAATTATTTATTTGATTAATTATAAAAATTTAAATTATATTAATATTAACAATTTTAATTTACACAAATAAATCACTCAATATATATTAATTCAAATAAATTTAATAAAAGAGAAAGATTTTATTCTTAAATATCAAACGTTAATTTTACAATAGTTAATGAAAATAATAATATATAGGTTGATCTCTGATAACATCGTGAATATAAACTATATCTAACGAAAATGTTAAGTACTGTTTAACAATTTTAGCAACATAAAAAATATAATAATATAACAAATGACACAAAATCTCTCTCTCTCTCTCTCTCTATGCAAACCTTTGTAATAATCTTTACAATGATCCTCAATTTTAAATTAAATTAAATTAATTTTTTTATCAATTAATATTTTATTTAAATTAGTTTTATAGCAAGTGTTAAATGGAGGGTGATAGTTAGTAGAAACTTATGCTAATAACTTTTTTTAGGATTAAAAGTTTAATTTTTACTTTAAAAAAGAAAAGAAAAAAGAGTTTGGTTTTATTTTTATTAAAATTTATACCTTTTTTATAATTTTTTCTTGACTATTGCTTTGTAATTTTTCTCATATGTCTTTGTAATCTGAACACAAAAACTGCCCCTTACAGCTTTGCAAAAAAATCGAATTTTTAGAAAAATTACCGTTTGAATAATTTTTTAAAGAGAAAAAATTGATTAATGAGCTATTCAAATACATACAGATAAGTTTTAAATAAATTATTTAATTTAAATTAGTTTATAAGTATTAAATTTCATGAATTTATAAATTTAACTTTCAATTTTATAATTTCTTTATGATGAATTTATAATTTATTTTTTAAATTTTAACATAGTTAAAAAATAAATAAATTATTTTTTATTTTATAAATGTTTCTAGAACCTTCAACAGCCACGCTCTCTTTATTTTATAAAAAAAATTGTTTTGTTTGAAATAAGGTTAAGCAACACCCCTGCTAACAAATATTTAACCCTTAGTTTAGCCCCTTTTATTAGATAGAGCTCTCGTTAGTAAAATAATAATAATAAAAAAACGTTATTAAAATAATTTCTCACACATCTATCGAATAGATAATAATTTTTATTGACGGCCTTTTTCTTTACAAAATGCAAATTTTTATTTTTACATTTTTTTATATTTTTCATCTTTTTCACTTTGTTTAAAAAAAATTAAAGCATGCCTAATCGTGACTATTAAAATTTAGTAAAATTTTTATATTATATTTTATAATGTATTTTTTATTTATGATATCATAATAAAAAATTAACATATTTTACTCCCTCTATTAAAAGATGTAAAGTACTTTTAACTAAATATCACTCTTCAATA